GTATTGATAAACTTATTGTAAGAAATATTTCAGTATATGAAGCAAATTAATGATTATTTGAAAGAAAGAAACATTACAACTTGAAATTGTTTAATTTTATGTATAAGCGACTTCGTTTGCATAGAATGAACTTTTTGCTATTATAAAAAATAAAATAACTAAAATAAAAGTAGCCTAAGTTACTCTTTATAATATTAGCTAGGTGGGAATCAAATTCCCGTTAAAATAGGTCCAATGTTTCAAAGATTAGTAAGAACAAAAAGATAGACAGAAAAAAGATTCATCAAAAGTGACGAATTTCCATACATCAGTATAAAAATCAGTTTCAAGCTTCTAGCTTTAAAAATGAGGATACCTCCATATAATCTTTCGTCTCCCATTTGAATTCATAAGCCGCTAAAATGTCCTACATGAATAAATGATTTTTTAATTTGAATTTGAACTCCTTTACAACCCTTTTTCGCATTAAAAACTGTCTGTGTAACAAATTTTTATTAAATCCGCGCAGTTGTTTTGGCGTGAAAGCGCGAAAACAGACAGACAAAATTACTTTCGCATTTATAATATTAGATCATTATTTATTTGTATATAAATAATACTTTACACAATGTCAATTTAGCTTTCTCTCTTGAACGTTTGATAATTTCGTACGAAAGTGTATAACTCATCATTTAGATTGATCGAAGAGATAAATCTCTCGTGCATTCGAAAAACCGATCACTTTGTCTACATTCTCTGTTACTAAAAATAGCATTAAGTTGTCCAGACTAGTATTCTCTGTTTTTTTTTATTATGATCTTGTTGCCAAGTTAGTCATCATATAACTGAGGTGTGTGTGTGTGGTCGGAACGTCTCCAGTTTTTTTTATGTCCATGGCATTTTTATGGTAACTGTAAAAGGTGTGAAACGCCCACGGTCGCATTTGTAAAATTCCATGGACTAAAAGTGTGTTGGCTACTTTTCTCATAGATTTTTAAATCAGTTTTCTAATTTTGCTGTTTTTGACTTGGGATATCCCAAGTCAAAAACAGCAAAATTTGCAAACAGCAGCTTGACACGTCTGTTGCCAAAAGCTACATCCTGAAGGTAGGCTTTGTTCAAAGTCGACTGCGTGAGTAATTCATTCTCACCTATTTCAGTCGCCAAGCGTTGCTTTGTAAAATGCGTATCATTGAAGGTTGAGATAAGGCAGTGAAATTACATGGATAATAGACACGGCACGTAAGAATCATCCCTCGTACAGACCTCTAATATAAATAATATAAGAATAATAAATAACAAAAGTGACTACATTTTGTAGTCGCTTTTGCTGTCTGTTCGCTTAGATCTTTTGAACTACGCAATGGATTTTCATGCAGTTATTGGCAATATATACTCTATATATATAGTAATTCAAGACGAAAATTTATATCTATACTCTATACTAATATTATAAAGCTGAAGAGTTTGTTTATTTGAACGCGCTAATCTCAGGAACTACTGATTCAAATTGAAAAATTATTTTTGTGTCGGATAGTCCATTTGTCGAGGAAGGCTTTAAGCTATATAACATTACGCTACGACCAATAGTAGCAATGCATCAGTGAAAAATGCTCCAAAACGGGGAAAATTATTAATATTTGAGGGCTTATACATGACAACCACGCGAAGCCGGGGCGGGTAGCTAGTCTATACATATAAATAAAATGGGAGTGTCTCTTGGTAATATTGAAAAAAATATTTTTTACTACATACATATTGTTCAATTTTTGTCTGTCTATCTGTTTGTTCCGGTTAATTTCTGAAATGGCTGGATCGATTTTGACGGGACTTTTTTTGGCAGGTAGCCGATGTAATAAGTTAAGTTTATTTCCACGCCGACGAAGTCGCGAGTACGTCTAGTGTTATATATAAATACCCCGGAATAGCAATGCATGTAGTGTCACGAGCGACGGTTGCAACTTACAATCAAGGTGGCCATCAGCTTGTATGCCATTCTAATTATGCTAGTTGTCCAATCGAAATTAGATCATAAATAATTCTAATTTAGGGTATGTTTCACATTAAATTTTTAATATAAGACTATAGACAATTAATATTAAAGACAAGCAATATTAATCTATTTTCAATTTAACATATGCGTATGTGTCAAATACATAGTAGTGTGTGTAATGTAATGTAATTTAAATAAATATATATTTGCATTCTGCACTCTTTCTCTGAGTCAACGGTAAGTGCGCGAAATTTCATAATCTTCCGTCAGAGTAAGTTTTGTAAAAAGGGATACAAAGTTTTTGTTTCAGGTATTAATATATACTAAGTGTGACCGTGACTTTGCGTAGAATACTAGCTTTGACCAAATAAAGAATAATGTCAAATATAATCCAAAAATAATAAAAAAAAGTTTCATCGTTCTAGCTTCAAAAATGATACTTGCATACAAACTTCATCTCCTCTTTCAACCTCTTACAACCTTTTTTGCAATAAAAAGTAGCCTATGTTCATTCTCAGGGTCTAGACTATCTACATAACAAATTTCATTTAAATCGGTTCAGTAGTTTTGGCGTAAAAGCGAGATAGACAGACAGAGTTACTTTGGCATCCTTATCTTAATAATATTATAAACGTAAACGAAAGTTTGTGAGTTATGTATGGATGTTTGTTACTCTTTCACACAAAAACTATTGAACGGATTTTGATGAAACTTTACACTAATATAGCTTATACATCTGAATGACACATAGGCTATAATTTAAAAAGATATGTAAATTGAGTAAGTGTGAGGCAGACAAAGTTACGCGGGAAACTAGCGGATAGTTTATAATATTAGTAAGAAAAAAAAATATATTTAGAGAACTCTAAAATCATTTAGATGTCTCGATTTATGAGGTTGGGTCGTAAAATTGCTGTTTAAAAATAGATACGGCTATGTCTAAAGCAACACGGTATTTCTTCGTCCATTTAATATCTTTAAACGGTGACCCATTTTCTGTATGTACGTAACTATTTATGACCTAATTAGTTTGGTTTACATACGAGCTGTTTCCCGCGGGTTTGACTGCTTTTTGATTAATCGCTTAATTAAATGGATGGCATACGACCCGCCTTATGCTTAGCTATTAGAGTGGCATAATAAAATAGTAATAATATGTTAATTTGACTAGATATAAAGTAACAAAAATTACTATGATATGGAAATGTGCTTGTTTGCCACAACTTGTTTGTTTGTTTGTAGTATGAAAAAAATGTCTTTGTAAAAAGTGGAATCATCATAAATCGGTTCTTAAATTAGCGAATTAATTAATGTACCTACTACACATTTACTAAAAAGATTGAACTAAGGAACTAGTTTCTTTTCGTAGTCGGTTTAAAAAGACATATATCCAAAATATCTATAGTTGTAACAAAGAAGAATAATCAAAATCGGTTCGTAAATTGGCGAACTAATCACGCAGTACCTACATATATCCACCATATATATACTTAAATATCTGTACATTGGAGTTAAATATATATATATATATATTGTAAAAAAATAAAGCGGACTATGTGACTAGTTCCTTTTCGTAGTCGGTTAAAAAAGACATTTGCCCAAATTACCTAAACGGACGTGTGTCCGCTACATAACTATTTGTTTGTACGCCAGAGGAAATTTTTTTTTGTTTGTAATAGTAATATTTGTATGATTGTAAAAATACGCGATAACAGTGCTTGTTCAGAATATTTTGAGGTCGCTCGGTATGTAATATTTTATTTTGTTTTTTTCCTCCCATTTGTTTTGCTAATAGCGTTATTGTAGATTTTATTTTTAATTCTATTATTATGCGCATAGATTCATGATGCTTAAGGTGTAATTAAAAAAAATATGTACTAGTAAATTTATACTTAGAATTGCTGGTTGGAGAAAGGGCTGTTTGGATTTAGGGTCTTAGCCTATCCCAAATTAGTCAGAACAAAAAATAAATGATAAATAGAAAAATGTATTGATTTCTTAATTTAAATTTTATTAATATTTAGAATGGTTGGAGAAATAGCTGTACGGGTTTAAGGTCTTCGCCTATCCCAAATTAGAGAACAAAAAATTAATGATAAATCGAAATTTGTAGTTATTTTTAATTTGAATTCAATGAGTATATATATTGACTGGAAATAATTTAGTAAGCAAATACATACTAAACTTTAAAATAGGTACTGTCCTTATGAAAACAAAATATAAATGAAATTTAGGTAGCGTAGAAATGTTAATAAAAAAGGTTTCATAGTTTAAACGAAAATCCTTTTTTATACGTAAGCTTGCTACTAAGGCTAAAATACACAACAACCGACTTCCAAATATAAACTAAAATAAAAGTGGATATACAGTTTCATAGAAAAAATGTTTGGTTCTATTTTTGTCTCTTGTGTGCTAATCAATTCAAATTTAGAATTGCTGGTTAGAGCAATTGAAATAATTCCATAGGTATGTTTAGCTCATTTAATTCTAAATTTGAATAGTGAACTGAATGGAAATAATAGCGTGTATCGTTTGTTACGATCTTTTTTATATATGTTTTATTTTAAATATGTTTTACGGGTCTGCGTCCTTGTCCTTTCAGCACGACATTTGGCTATTTCACGAGTTGCCATTTCTATTAAAAATAATGAAGTAGTAATTTTTAAATGTAAATTCAGTGCCTACCGTACGGAATGTTATAGAATATGGTTCATCCTCATGCGCTGATGGTATATGTTGGCGGGTCATCAGAGGATGATCGGATGAGCATGAAATCTTGTCAGTTAGCCCTTCATTAGGAATTCACAAGGAATTAATCACGATGGTCTACCTAACTGTACCATACATACCAACGGCACAGTTGGTTCTAATATTGACAGTCTCCTTGGGAGTTTTAAATGTTTACAACAAAATGCATTTAAATATGTCTATTATTGTCTAGTCCATAAAGTATAAGCTAAGTTTGGGACTATACAACCATAGGTAATTTATTTATTGTTATATAAGAAGACTAATTTTATTGTTACAGGTAACAATTGACTCTATGCCAACCACCGAGAGACTACATTCCAAGAACCTGATAGTACCTAATCTGAAATATTATTAAAAGACATTATACAAAAAAAAAATACGTTTCGACCAAAATTTTGTACCAAAATATACAAAAATCGAATCGTGAACCTGCCTTCATACCAAAGCCTTGTAGATTTATTTTGAGGGTGAATGACCCGTGTACAGTCAGACTCGACATAGTCGTAACAGGCGGTACAGTCGAGTACAATAAAGAGTGGACCCATGAACTGGGCGAGCTTAGAACGAGTGTACTGCTGAGGGTTGGAGTTCAATGAAGATGATGCCGCAACAGTATTGCCTGAGGTGGAAACACCATCACTCCAACGTGCAGAATATGTTCGCACAACTTCTAGAAAAAGGTTTGTTTTTTTTCATTCATGTTACCCTGCCAGTATTATAATTTTACGGCTTCGATAGTCTAGTGGTTTAGCACACCGCTTTATATGGTTGTAGGTTCGATTATTCGCACGATGTAAATATTCTGTACTAGTCCGCGTGTTATTCTGTCAATTATATGTATGTATTTACATAAAAAATGTATTAAAGTATTTCTATCAATTGTCTAGTACTCAAAACACAAGCTCTGCTTAATTTAAGACTAGATGGCGCTATTTGAAGCGTCCAAGGATATTATTATACTGATGCATTAAGTGTAGTGTATAGCGCACCAACCACATGTATAAGTAATGTAATAAATGCAGTGTATATCCAAACTGTAGACAATAAATACAGTTTATATCCAAACTGTAGAGAATAAATACAATCTATATCCGAACTGTGCAGAATAAATGTAGTGTATATCCAAACTGGAGAATAAATGCAGTGTATATCCAAACTGTAGACAATAAATACAGTTTATATCCAAACTGTGGAGAATAAATGCAATCTATATCCAAACCGTGCAGAATAAATGCTGTCTATATACAAACTGTGGAGAATAAATGCAGTGTATATCCAAACTATGGAGAATAAATGCTGTCTATATACAAACTATGGAGAATAAATACAGTTTATGTCCGAACTGTCGAGAATAAATGCAGTCTATATTGAAACTATTTAGTAATGAGTGGTCTTCCCAACGCCCATCATTTACAATAGATTCATAGTGTGATGTTTGTATAGAAATATATCATTCACATCAGTATTAATTAATTATGATCGTATGCAAACAAAATAACGTGTCCACAATACAAATTTGTTCGAGATGATAAATAACAAATTAATGCGTAACATAAACATTTATTATATGTCTAGATTTTGCATACAAATTAAATATTAAAATATATTAAAAAGGAGAGAAGAGCTGTTTTAAATGATAATGGTATGGATGGATATGCACTCGCTTGTGTTAACGGTTTACGCTGGCGGGGCACAGTGGTGGATGATAAGAAGTGGAGACACTGTTTACCCGAATTGTTTAAAACATTACTTACCCTAGTAATAATTATATTAAGTACTAGTTTTTTTACGCGAGTTCGTCTGCATGGAATGTAATTTTATCTATTAATTTCTGCACTAAAAGTAACTTACACCTTATAACATTAGCTATATGCGGGTGAAAGGTCCACCTGTTTCAGAGATTAGCAAGAACAAACGGACAGACAAAAATTTCATATTTATTTATTTGTATAGATTTGTATACATATATAAAATTATGTGTATAGATGTAATAATGATGATGTATAAGTATATGTATACATATGAGCTATATCTTGCCGACACATAGTCAGTAAAAGTTAGTCTCTGCATTTGGGCGAGTTGTACAATGTACATATATCTTTATTAAAAATAACCACTAGTAAGACGTTCCGGATTTGCTTGCCACGGCTACTAAGTATAAACACGTTTTACAGCGTACCGAGGCCTGTATTCTGTAAAACGTGTTTACGCTTAGTACCCGTGGTTTTGTTTTTGTCAAAGAACATGCATCGTGTTGAAATTTTAATGATGTAATTTTTATTTCATTTGCATCATTCATAATTTGAATACAAAAAAATTACTGATGCAAATCCTGTTAGATTTGCATCAGTATTTGTTTATACAAATTATGTAATTTCATTACGAAATATTATACATTTATAGGATTTGATTGGCAAACAAACTCACATCCCATGCCCCTTCAATCAATGCCTCGCCCAATTCAAACAGTGATCGAAATTACGACAACCTGAGCCGAGGTTCGAACTTCTAACAGTGCCCTCAGACTAAACTCGTATCCGTCAGGCAAGAGTTGGCCTTCAGCCGCTCCATAAGTCCTTCCGCGTGTTTGGAGTGCCATCTGCACTCGCCAATCGTTCGGTGAAGCTGTAAAGGACAGCTGCGGCCAACAGCATTTGAGTGGTCCAAAAATGAAAGCGAATGTGCCAACTTTTGAAACGCACTCAAAGTTGCCATTTTTGAGCAGTAATGTTATGTCTTTAATGCAGACAAAATATAATATATTTGATTTATATATATTTATACTTTTATATATATTACATATATTTGTGTATGTATATGCGTGTGTTTACATATATCTTTTAGTAAATACTATTTATGACATTTCTTTGCACCGCTTACATTTTTTCTCTGCACAACCTTTGGTTGACCGGTAGTAAATGTCGTAAGGTGTTAAGCCCGCCATGTGTACTCTTTCCTTGGTATGTTAATAACTGAAGTTATATGTTTAAATAAATAAAACATAATATATAGTTGAATAATTTTTAGAATTCTTATCAATAGCACTTTTATCAATTTCAAACTAATTTTGAACATATACATTAAAGACTTTTTCTCGTCCATATACTTAATTATAAATGCAGATGTCAATACGATTTTAAGTAGGCACCGTCGATTTGTCTATTAAAAAACTAGACATCGTAAATCTTCAGATGCAAGTTAAAAATTCAAAAAATTAAAATCAAAAACCGTCTGGGAGTATCACAAGAACCGGTTATACGAATGTCTGGTAGATAATGACGCAAGGTCGCCAAAATGGTGACAGTCAAATTCAAAACGACCTTTAACAGTCATCTACATATATATACAAATAAATAAAATGGAACTGTCTGTTTGTAATTACAAATTAACAGTATAAGTACAAGTAGCTTTTCACTAAATACATATGGAAGTATATATATACGGTACTTATATACGCACGGTACTAATATGCTTGTTTGATCTTGCTAATCTCTGAAATGGTTGGGCCGATTTTGCAAGGAGTAACTTAGGCTACTTTTATTTTAGGAATTTGGGTTATTTAAATAAAATTATGTTAAATTCAACGCAGAGACGGGTAACAGCTAGTATTGCTAGTTGGTATGTATGTTTTCTGTAGATGGAAAATATTTGAGAAAAACTATTATATCATTGAGGGACTTCGACATCGTAATAAAACCCAAAGTAAAAGATAAATCCGAACCGATAAGATATTGAAGAGATCTTATTTGTTCTTAAAGTTCTGCAAGTGCGTCGAGGCTTGCTGGCTTAGCACGCCTCGACGCACTTGCAATTCCCCTGGTGTTGCGGGTGTTCACGGGCGGCGATAATCATTTACCATCAGGTGAGCCACAAGCTCATTTATTCCATATGATATAAAGAATGGCTTAACCGATTTGAGTGTGGTTTTCATTTTCTAATGTATAGCGGCAAACTTCACATAAAATTTTGTGTTTGTTTTATTCCAAAAGTTTTATAAACTGAAAAGTTAGATATGGGTAAGAAGTCACGGCCTCAGCTAGTTAACAGTAAAAAATTGCGCCTATGTCTCCACTTTCTGTTACATTGCACCACATTTGCTAAAGGAAAAAATGTATAGCCTTTAAAGAAGCGTTGGACTATGTTGTATTTGCTGTGACAAATTACAATTCAAGCGGTCTAGACGCCACGCAGCCGATGAATCAAATTATCGCATACCACTTCGAGAGATATGTCCTAATCTCTCAGTTTATGCATATTTTGAGAATGTTTAGCATAAAATATAAATTGCTTATTAGTTTTTTAAAAGTGTCTCTATCACGTTGCCGTTGTATTTTATCTTATAATCTGCATGTATTATGTTTAATATGACAAGAGATATATGAGTTTGTTAATAGTTTTTTTGTAATTTTTACATGATTACTTTCTTTTTTAAAGCGTAATCCATACTTCCTTGCTAATAATATAAATGCGAAAGTAACTCTGTCTGTTTGTCTGTCGCGATTCCACGCCAAAACTACTGAACCTATTTAAATGAGAAAGAATATTTTCTAATGCGAAAAAAGGGTTATAAGTAGTTGAAAGGTATGGAACTACAGTTATTTTTAAGCTACAAACTTGAAACTTATTTTTTAGGATGTAGATTAAATATTAGATTCAAAGTTTGTAAATTTACCCTTAAGGTGGTAAAATGAAATAGGGGATGAAAATTTGTATGGAAATTCGTCATTTTTAAAGTTAGAAGGAATATACTTTTTTCTTTGGCAAGACACTTTATAATTAGCGTAAATAATTAGAAATGCTATCCAAGGTCATTATTCCACGCGGACGAAGTCACGTGCACAGTTAACTAAGCAGTTTTGTAAATATTCTAAATAGGTATGTTAATAACTGAAGTTATATGTTTAAATAAATAAAACATAATATATAGTTGAATAATTTTTAGAATTCATCACATTCATAGCACTTTTATCAATTTCAAACTAATTTTGAACATATACATTAAAGACTTTTTCTCGTCCATATACTTAATTATAAATGCAGATGTCAATACGATTTTAAGTAGGCACCGTCGATTTGTCTATTAAAAAACTAGACATCGTAAATCTTCAGATGCAAGTTAAAAATTCAAAAAATTAAAATCAAAAACCGTCTGGGAGTATCACAAGAACCGGTTATACGAATGTCTGGTAGATAATGACGCAAGGTCGCCAAAATGGTGACAGTCAAATTCAAAACGACCTTTAACAGTCATCTACATATATATACAAATAAATAAAATGGAACTGTCTGTTTGTAATTACAAATTAACAGTATAAGTACAAGTAGCTTTTCACTAAATGCATATGGAAGTGTATATATACGGTACTTATATACGTACGGTATTAATATGCTTGTTTGATCTTGCTAATCTCTGAAATGGTTGGGCCGATTTTGCAAGGAGTAACTTAATACTTTTATTTTAGGAATTTGGGTTTTTTAAATAAAATTATGTTAAATTCAACGCAGAGACGGGTAACAGCTAGTATTGCTAGTTGGTATGTATGTTTTCTGTAGATGGAAAATATTTGAGAAAAACTATTATATCATTGAGGGACTTCGACATCGTAATAAAACCCAAAGTAAAAGATAAATCCGAACCGATAAGATATTGAAGAGATCTTATTTGTTCTTAAAGTTCTGCAAGTGCGTCGAGGCTTGCTGGCTTAGCACGCCTCGACGCACTTGCAATTCCCCTGGTGTTGCGGGTGTTCACGGGCGGCGATAATCATTTACCATCAGGTGAGCCACAAGCTCATTTATTCCATATGATATAAAGAATGGCTTAACCGATTTGAGTGTGGTTTTCATTTTCTAATGTATAGCGGCAAACTTCACATAAAATTTTGTGTTTGTTTTATTCCAAAAGTTTTATAAACTGAAAAGTTAGATATGGGTAAGAAGTCACGGCCTCAGCTAGTTAACAGTAAAAAATTGCGCCTATGTCTCCACTTTCTGTTACATTGCACCACATTTGCTAAAGGAAAAAATGTATAGCCTTTAAAGAAGCGTTGGACTATGTTGTATTTGCTGTGACAAATTACAATTCAAGCGGTCTAGACGCCACGCAGCCGATGAATCAAATTATCGCATACCACTTCGAGAGATATGTCCTAATCTCTCAGTTTATGCATATTTTGAGAATGTTTAGCATAAAATATAAATTGCTTATTAGTTTTTTAAAAGTGTCTCTATCACGTTGCCGTTGTATTTTATCTTATAATCTGCATGTATTATGTTTAATATGACAAGAGATATATGAGTTTGTTAATAGTTTTTTTGTAATTTTTACATGATTACTTTCTTTTTTAAAGCGTAATCCATACTTCCTTGCTAATAATATAAATGCGAAAGTAACTCTGTCTGTTTGTCTGTCGCGATTCCACGCCAAAACTACTGAACCTATTTAAATGAGAAAGAATATTTTCTAATGCGAAAAAAGGGTTATAAGTAGTTGAAAGGTATGGAACTACAGTTATTTTTAAGCTACAAACTTGAAACTTATTTTTTAGGATGTAGATTAAATATTAGATTCAAAGTTTGTAAATTTACCCTTAAGGTGGTAAAATGAAATAGGGGATGAAAATTTGTATGGAAAGTCGTCATTTTTAAAGTTAGAAGGAATATACTTTTTTCTTTGGCAAGACATTTTATAATTAGCGTAAATAATTAGAAATGCTATCCAAGGTCATTATTCCACGCGGACGAAGTCGCGTGCACAGTTAACTAAGCAGTTTTGTAAATATTCTAGACCTATTTCGTTTATCTGAATATTTCTAAATATAAATTCATTTGGATACCTAGGTCATATAGAAGATATTATTTTGCGGAAGTCGATGAATATTATTTTTAATGGATATTATTATTTATTAGCAATAAATCAGAATAATTTTAATATTCATGGATTACTGTTAAAAACATTTTAGTTGGAATACAATTTTCCTATTTCGCTATATAATAATATATTTTTTATTTCATATAATATGAACGGAAATCAAATTGAATTTTAACTACCCACCGATGGTAAATGGTAACCGTTATACGAACCTATACGAGTATACAAGTAATATATATAGTGAATCGGGGGAAGGGGATTGTTAACAACCATGTCAGGTTGACTTCCCGCGGTGTCCCGTGGAAACCATTGTGGTAAATTATCATTTGCCAAGATGGGCTAACTGACTTGAGTTCATACTTATTTTATCATACTCCATTGGTGCCCCGCCAGCGTCAACCGTAACCGCAGGCGGGTGCATCATTCCATTGTCATCCATTTTTTTTAATTTATTTATACTCTTTATTGCACCAATTACAGAACAAACAAAAATTTATAAAAAAAATAATTAAAAATTAAAATAGAAAATATACATTAACTGATACCAAAGGCGATCTTATCGCTAAGCAATCTTTTCCAAACTACCTTTGGGTGGATGGAGAAATCAAAATAAGAAAATATATAGTGAATTGAGAATAAAGTACGTTATATTTGTCTGTTACAGAGAGATTTTGCGACGTGACACTATACTGCTCGCCGAACTTCGCCACACAAGTGCCCAACAAAGACACAGTCGACCCGCAGAATATAAGAGGGGTGTCCCTCAGGGCGCACAGGTGGGACCACAACTGTTTTCTATTGTTAAGCCAATTTAGTGTACATATTAATCAATCTTATTATAATTTTATCGCACAGCACCTGCTGGTATTGTAACATTGCTAAACGTCTTAAATAACATCGAAAATATAGAAAAAATAAACATAATAATTATTTCAGTCCCGCCAACTTTCTCTTAATCGATCTCTATGATGTAGAAAGCTTTTATTTTTAAAACTTGTCATATGTAGCTGGTAGATAATGCGATATAGCATTATTATTTTAATGCAGTTTCCAACAATGGATAGTGATTAAAGAAAAGTGACGTCCTAAAAATAGTATAGTGTAGAACAAGTAGAGAAATTTAAAGATTTGTGCTTGCGAGCGAAACCAGTACGGGTTGGTAGTCTATAGATGCTTCTATACTAATATTATAAAGAGGTAAAGTTTTTTCGGGATAACCTCCGGTTCTGCGAAATCGATTTTAAAAACTCTTTCACTGATAAAAAAGTATATTATCCCCGGGTGTTATAGGCTATATATAACATCACACTATGACCAATAGGAGTAGAGCAGCAATGAAAAACGTGCGATAAAATATTCATTTTGAGTGCTTCCGCTGCGTGCGGTTAATCGGTTAAAGTTACGCAAAAAATTTGTATTACGGAATTGTTGTCCCTTAAGAGTTCTAAACAGAAGACCGCGACAACATATAGCTTAAGGTTAATTTAAAAAAATTGTCGAACAGTTTAAAACTTAAACAAATATTGGATCCGGTCGGGGCGAGGTCGGGATGCGTCGCTAGTCTTATATATAAAATTCTCGTGACACAATGTTAGTTACTATATTCCTCCGATACTTATCGACTTTTATTAAATTTTATATGCATATTCAGCAGGTCTGAAAATCGACTACTATATATTATTCATACCTCTAAGTGATAAGGGTTGTCCATTAGCATATCTTTTTTAATGTTTTGAACTAAATTCTTTTTTATATTGTGGCCTTAAGCTTCACTAACCCCTGTTTTTTAATAGCGATTTTAATAATTAATAATTAATTAATAATTAATGGCAAAACAACGTTATCGGGATCAGCTAGTATAAATGGTGTGTTCACATACATTCCTAAATTTTCACCAATCTATCACCAACCCCTATTTTTTAATAGTAAACGCAAAATAACGTTCGCTAGGTCAACTAATAATATAAATGGTGTGTTCTCAGAGTGGTGCTGGCAGCATGTTCGGAGTTGTTGGGCGCGTTGCTGGGCGCCCACGAGGCGCAGGGCGAGCCGGTGCTGGTGATAGACGGTGCGGAGCCCAGGCATCTGAAGGCACTCCTCGATTACATGTACACCGGCGAGATGAACGTGCACCACGTGAGTCCTATGAAATGAAATTTATTTGTTATAAAAGTACATAATAAGATGGTATGGTTATTTATGTTATATACCTAACACATACAAACTGACATGCTACATTGCTAACAATAAGATCATCAGTCCACATTACTACCAATCCCTTTTCTCCCAATTTTGCGGGGTTATTATTATTTTTAATGATGATGAATAATGTTTGTGTACAGTCCCAGCTGGCGAGTTTGCTTAAAACAGCAGAAGAGTTGCGGATCAAGGGTCTCACGGATATCCGGTGGAACAATAAGGATGAGCCGCCCGACTGCGACACAGGTCAGGTTTCTATGGATAATTATGTATAAGCACTAATATTATAAATTGACGGAGTATCCATCCCTGACTTGTGTGACTGGAGCGGGAACACAACGACTATTTTATTAAAAATCTTTAAGGCAGTAATAAATGTGTATATTTCCCAAAAGGGCTTACAGTGAAGAAGTAGAACTAGTTAAAAGTGGCATATAAAAAACAATATCAAAATACAAAATGTATAAAAAATGGTAGACAAGCTGCTAGCAACAACTTGACTTGATTCACTCCTCCATACAAACATCGCCCCTCCGATCGATCTCCCGTCCAATTCAAACGGGAATCGAAATTACGACGGCCTGAGCCGAGGTTCGAACTCTCAAACTAAAGTCGTATCCATCAGGCGGGAGTTGGTCTTCAGCCGCTCCATAAGTCCTTCCGCGGGTTTGGAGTGCCATTAGCACTTCACTGGACGATAGGGAAGATCGTCCGGTGTAGCTGTAACTACGGCCAACAGCATTACAGTAGTAAAAAAAAAACAAAAAGACACATTCATTCATTGATTATTCATTGGTTTATTTGCTACGATGGTCTAGGTTGACCTCATGCTCGTATTACTCTTTCGTGTCATCTTATCATGATAACGGAATAGTCCGAAAAAAAACTCCATACAAATTTTAACTGAACCAATTTCATACATCTATGTCTATATTTGCGTAAAAGTTACACAATAACTAACTGTCTATTACTACGACTGATTTAATCTTATTGTGTATTTGATATTTTGACTTTAAAGTAGTGCTAGTTGGTATTTTGTATTCACACATTTTTACTTGAGCATGTAAAGTTACAACAATTATTTAAAAAGAGAAATACAAGTTTTTTAGTCTTAATTGTAATGGGATAGCTTTCCGAATAAGCGGTATATTAAAAAATTAACAATGACTATTCAAAAGTGTTTAAATTAAGTTTCAATAGTAGCAACAAACAAAGACGTGTGAAGGTAGACGCATATGTCTGTCCATAAAAAAGTTTTTATTTACCATCAACCCGCCGCTCTGCAGTTTACCCGTTATCATGGAGGTTGAAACACTGCCGATATATCGGGACTCAATAAAAATAAAACGTCCATATAAGGTCCCATGATTTTACCTAATTATATGTTTATTTTCATTAAAGGATTTTCTATTCTATTCTTTTGATTTGCGTAATAATATTATGCTACTTCATGGAACAGGTGTAGTAACAGCGGTGCCAACAAACGAAAAGAAAAGTACAGAAAAAGAGAAGCAATCGTCACCGAAGCACACGACGGCGAAGCATACGTCACCGAAGCTGTCGCCACCGAAGCAGACGTCGCCGAAGCATGCGTCTGAACCGATGGCGGAACTGCGCGCGTACATGAAGAAAGAAGATAGTGATACGGAGATAAAGCAGGGGGAGAAGTTTAGTGTTAACGGTAGGTTACATAATTTTTAACACTCGTAAAGTGGATCTATTTTCACCGTATTCGATAAAGCAGCTGATAAAACACGTGTGTGTTATAAACGCTATTAGTGAAGTTATATTTCATAACCGCAATATATACTATTTTTTTTTATCAAATTTTGAACTGACTTGATTTTAAAAAAGTAAAACGGCGGGAAAGCAACTGTGTGCGTCACAGTTTTATGGTTGAGTTTATTTAAAATCAAGTGTGTTGAAAACATCGTACGATATACGTGCGTATAACACACTCGGCTCTATTACGCCCTCGCTTTTGACTCGGGCTGAAATTCCGCCTCGTGTGTATGTACTGTTATATGCCCTCTCGTAGACTAGATAGTGTTATTTCATGACTAGATGTTCGAGTGGTTTAGCACACCGTTTTATTTCTGATGGTCGCAGGTTCGATTCCTCACGATGCAAAAATTTGTATTCATAAGTATAATCGTTTCTGTTATCCTGGTTGTTTTCTATTCATATTATGTATTTACAAAAAAATATATTTAAGTATTTACAGCAGTTGTCTAGGACCCATAATACAATATTTTGCTTACCGTGGGACTAGATGGCGCTGTGTTAATTGTCCAGGGTTATTTATTTATTTAAAGATAACTCCTATCGAACCAATAACTCAAGCTCTGCTTACCGTGGGACTAGATGGCGCTGTGTTAATTGTCCAGGGTTATTTATTTATTTACAAAAAAAATATTTATGTCAGTTGTATAGTCTCTATATGTAAAATATGTATACATAGAAAACACCCAGACACTCATACACACGAATAAAAATGTTTGTATCGTGCAAGGAATCGAACCTGCGACTATCAGAAGTAAGGCGACCAAACCGCAAGACCACCGAGATGGTCAATGAGTGAATAAATTTGGAGTTTTATTTGTTAATTTTTATGTTGGAATTTAATTTATTAATCGTTTATAAAGATAAGTATATTTAGTATATAATAAAATAGACGTAAAACATTATAAATATGATAATGTAATGTGTTTAATGTTACAGGTGGACCACCGCCGTTAATAAAACTGCCCACCAAGGACAAAACCAGTCCTGCAAAACGGGATCGCTCAGATTCGTAAGTATTTATTATTTCTTTTTATAATATCACGACCGCAATACTAAATGAGGTAGGCAGGAGTGTTGTTAACGCTTCATTTGAGATGCCCACAATAACAATATATCAGGATAATTCACACAGCGCCATCTAATTCCAAGGTAAGTAGAGCTTGTATTATGGGTGCTAAACAACTGATATAAATATTTAAATGTTTTTTTTTAATTCATATAAATAAAGTTGGAGTGTTTGTTTGTAATATAAAATAACCGTTTTTTACTACATACATATTAATATAAATATGGTACATACACGAAAATAATATAAGTTATTGTTTGTTCCGTAACAACTCTAGCTTTTTGACGGCTTATTATTATATCTGTTTGTTGCCGCGCGCGTTTTCAGCGATTTTGTCTCTCTATATATTAATAATATATATAAATGTTGTTTCTGAGAGAACTCACGCTGTTTATTATTATTTTTGTTAAGTTTTTCGTTACGTTGTGTTTATGTTGCGTTTAATTGTTTCGTATAAACGATATGGATCCTCAACCAAGCACGTCAAGCCAAAGCTTGTCTCCAAGAAATCGAAGAGACCACGGATAGCTTTAAACGTAACCGAGCTCTTATGATACAAAACGGCTACAAACACCAGTTGAGGAGAAAATCGCAGCTTCTTACTACCTCTTGAGAATGTTATAATGTGTTAAAACAGCTGACATTTATATAATTGGTGTAACCTAATATATATAAAAGAATACAAAGTTTAAGTTTTTCAAAGATAAACTAGACGAGACTTTTGCCGCTATAAGGCAAAAAGTAAATCAATTTTTATCAATCACCCACCATTGTAAAGGTAACTCATTCCTTCTACTGTAAATTCTGTGTCTATCATAATGTTCTTTGTAAAACCAAGTATAAGATTGCGTTTTGGCACTTCCTTACTTAAAAAAAAACTTTTTTTTATATTACTTAAAGATTCTTAAGGCAGTCAATAATGACCCAGACTTACCCAATTTTTCTTGGAGTACATTAAGAAATGTTATGAAACATTTAAATTTCAAATATGTCACAAAATCAAGACAAAGCATATATATATATATATATATATATATATATATATATATGTTTAGCGATATCTTCAAAAAATTAAAGGCTATCAAGGGCAGGAAGGTATATTTATGACCATATGAAACCTGTGATCAACGAAGGTAAATACAATTTTCAGTACTATACATTATGTACTTTCGATAATTAATTAATATTTTTCACTATATTGAAGGTCATGCACCGAAGAAGGCATGGATTGACTCTCTTTTATCGTCCCGAAGGCCTTCCTAGATGGCTTGACCACTGGCTTAAAACAGCCTTCAGGAGAAGGGCAAACGATTAATTATCGGCATATAGGCGGGGAAGTAGGATTCGTAGAAGACAGCTTATTAATATTTGATTTGCAAAAAAATAAAGAAGATTATCATCAAGAGATGAATGCCGATTCCTTTGAGAAGTGGTTTAGGGGGATCTTGCAAAACTAAAACCAAATTCCGTAGTAGTGATGGATAATGCCCCATACCACTCCAGGAAACTAGAATCGCTGCCTACAATGTCTTGGATTAAACCTAAAATACAAGAGTGGCTAACGAGCAGAAATATTTCATTTGAAGCAACAATGGTTAAAGCTATCTTATAGACATTGTAGGCAGCACAAACAAGAACATTGCGATAAGTATGTTGTGGACGAGATGGCAGCGCAGCAATAATTGTTTTACGTCTGCCCCCATACCACTGTTAGCTGACTCCCATTGAGTTGGTAAGGGCACAGGCTAAAGGATATGTTGCAAGAAATAACAAAACCTTCAAAATGACAGAAGTAAAAAAACTTTTTGAAGAAGGCCTTCAGCACATCACACCTGAAAAATGGAGTAGCTGCATATCTCATATAATTAAAGAAGAAGACAAAATGTATGGTCTCGACCACATGATCGACAATGTTTCAGACAGATTTATAATTAATGTCACCGAAAGCGATAGTGATGCTTTTTTATCTGATTTTCCAATAAAAACATTATGTTATAAGCATTTTTTATTTTCATTACCTACCTATAAATGTTATATTTTATACATCAATAGTTTCAACTACATGATGCATTGAAATAGGACAGTCTACAAGTTTTTTTTTCCTATTGTCTAAAACACTCGGATTCAGTATGGTATAACTATAGGAACTTAGTCGTCGAAAACTCGTTGATATGTACCAAGCACGACTAAAATTCGTATCCCGTACCCGATATCGGCATGGCACACTAAGTATTCACTAGACAATGGAGGCAATTTCATTTATTAAAGAGTTTTTTCAATGATTCACTTTGTCACAACACTATTTTTATTTCATCAAAAACTGACAACACAGTAAACGGAAGTTTACCTCGTCTAATTAAAAATACGACTATAGAGCTTGTGTTATGGGTGCTAAACAACTATATATATATATATATATAACCTGTGGATATCTGTATTGAAATAACCGTTTTTTACTACATACATATTAATATAAATATGGTACATACACGAAAATAACATTTTTCACAATTTTTGTCTATCTGTTTGTTCCGGCTAATCTCTCTAGGCTATAACTTCTCACTATTTATTATTATTACATCTCGACCAGACTCAAGTCAATCACTCCTCTAAACATGTAAGTCCTGTAAGAAATCGCTTTTCAGCGATATAACCGTCGCATTGTTGCCTCTTCCCTCTGAGAATGTTATATGTTTATACATATTTATATATTAATAATATATATAAATGTTTGTTTTTATACTAAGAGAGAACAATAAAGAATTTTCAATCATTCATTCATCCTTCTCTGAAATGGTTGGACCGATTTTGACGGGTCCTTTTTGGCAGGGAGCTGATGTAATAATGAGTAACTTAGAAAAAAAAACATTGAATTTAATTGAATTGTTGCAGTGAATCGCCAAGTCCGAAGCGACGTCGGGCTACAAGCGGCACGGAACATACGGATGACGATTCCGTGTCACATAAATCGTAAGTACTATACATATGTCACTCGATTATAACACTTAAAGTCACCACACTTAGAACTCTCTTTTATTTTCGAACTATTCTAATGCCATTGGCCACAGCTGACCTTTACAGTGACAGTAATCGTAGGATATTCTTAGGGGTATCCTCAGGATGGCAAGCGCACCTTATGAATGGTCCAGGTTAAAGCCGAGGAGGGGAGGGATCGTCAAAGTGTAACTTTGTATAATTCAGGAGGACATATTTTATTCAGAGACACAAAGTTCATACAAAAATACAAAGGAGGGGGGGCCTTTGTATTTTTGTATGAACTTTGTGTCTCTGAATAAAATATGTACTAGCTGACCCGCGGACTCCGTTCCGCTCCAGAATTAAATAATATGTAATAGGTTTTTGAAGTTTAGTAAAGCAATAAACGGACTCTGTTTGACAGGTACGAACAGTTTGTATGGAAAAAAGTGTTGCTTTTACTATTTTCCATGCATTTTCTTCATATTTTCTCACCACTAAAACCTTCCTTGGACTTCTACAAATATTCCAAAAACTATTTTTTTATTTATTAAAACTTAAAGATGCACATGGCATAAATATAGTTTGACGGACGTAAATGTACGCTGAGGACTGTTCGTTGTCGTACATGCCCTATTCATGTTGAAATATTGTTCACAGGGATCGAGATCAGGAATGGCAACACGGAAACCTGGTGAGTGAGAGTATATATATATATATATATATATATATATATATATATGTTTAGGGTTATTTATGAAATATGAATGGCAAACAAGATCATGGCCGACATTAAGGTACCTTACCCTACCTTAATGTCCACATGACCTTGTGTATCGCCTGATAATGATCGCCTATAAACATGTTGTCGTATCCCGGGTATAACGTCGTTATGTGCCATTCGTGGTACTACTCATGATTTGCCATTCCGAAGGATGTATGGATGGAGAATGGAATGGTGCACCCGTTTTTTTTTTTTTTTGAGGGTTGATAATGAAATGGAGCACCCGCCTACGCTGACGGTTTACGCTGGCGGGGCACCAGTGGAGGATGATAAGATGAACATGAGGTCAGGCCAGTTAGCCCATCGTGCAAATTCACCAGGAATTTAATACGATGGTTTCCAGGGGGAACCGCGTGGAGGTCAACCTGACATGGTACATTGCTAACAATGGGGTCATCATTCCATTACTAACAGAAGTTAAGACACTTTGGTGGGTGTGGTCAGGACATATCGGCGGAGCGCGTGGAGGCGTGGGGCATGAACGCGGAGCCGGCGCCGGCGGCCGACTGGTCGCGCGACGCGTCCGACGACGAGTGGGCCGACGCGCCCGCAGACATCGGCTCGTTCCTGCACACGCGGCTGCGCGTCGACGGCGACAACAGCGCCGGTACTCTACCCTCATGTTATCTAACTACCTACCTACCCATCCGACCGACTGGTCGCGCGACGCGTCCGACGACGAGTGGGCCGACGCGCCCGCAGACATCGGCTCGTTCCTGCACACGCGGCTGCGCGTCGACGGCGACAACAGCGCCGGTACTCTACCCTCATGTTATCTAACTACCTACTTATTTTCCTACCTACCTACCAGCCTACCTAACTTGCCGGTCTTCAAGCGTCCTTTTGTTACTGCTGTACGGTGTGATTGAGGTCGTCGTCTTCTCCGGCGAGAACGATGTCGTGTGTGTAACAGCGTTAGCGGGCGACGTTGCCCGTGACGTTGACGTGCCCCGTAGCGTAATAATCCACAATTTTTGTGAAGAGTAAACAAATAATATAGTCATTTTGAATTTCCATGCTAAAACCGATTTTTTTGAGGTGGGCTATTGTCAGGTGCTTAGACCTGTAGCACTGCGACCTGCATAAATCTTTATCACATTTCTCTCGCTCGCGCTCGCTAACTGTGATAAAGGGCGATCCCGTCAGAGACAAGAATTGAAGGATATTCTTAGGAGCGATGGTTTTTATCTCCTCAATATGGAGGGTATATTTTCTAAAGCAGATATTTTGTTTATGAGTGGGCTACGATTTTGACGAGTCTTTGTTTTTGGCATGTAGCTAATATAAAAATGAGTAACTTAGAAAAAAACATTGCATTTACACAGGATGTGGTGTTTCCTCTTCAGCCTGGCAAAACCGATTGATGGGCGTGCATGGCAACAGTTGTTCATGCACGGGATTTTCATTTATTATTAAACATAGAGACCTATATAAATATACACTGTACATAAATTGTCTTTTTAAAGAATTAATTCAATTGGTTTCTTGCCAGTTCTTCCCAATGGAATCTGTATACTTAACTGGCGGGTAGGGGAAAATTTATAATTTAAAAATTTGAGGTTCATAAGCGGCTAAAATGTCCTAGGTGAATAAATGATTTTTTAATTTGGTCACAGATGAGGAGTCGAACGAGAGTGCCGCGGCGCTGGCGGCAGCATCCGCACCCTCGTCGTCATCCTCTGCGACGGCGTCAGAACTCAAGATGGACTATATCATTGGCAAACGTATGTACCTAGTTTCTTTGTAAAAAAAATATATCTTAATCATTACGTAGTATAAAACAAAGTCGCTGTCGCTGTCTGTCCGTCCCTATATATGCTTAAATCTTTAAAACTACGCAACAGTTTTTGAAGCGTTTTTTTAATGGATAGAGTGATTCTAGAGCAAGGTATAATACATGTACACTCGGGCGAAGCCGGGGCAATTAGCTAGTAATATTATAAACATGAAAGTTTGTGAGTTAGGATGGATGTTTTTTACTCTTTCACGCAAAAACTATGGAACGGAACTCGATGAAACTTTACAATAATTTAGATTATACTTTAGAATAACACATAGGCTATAATTTAAAAAGATATGTAAACTGGACGAAATGTAATGATAAATATAAAGTAAGTGTGACGCTGACAAAATCCAGGGCTAGCCGGCACATGGTAAAAAAGAAAAATGGTGAATGGAACCATGCGGTGATTACCGCGCATTGAATAATATTACCGTACCGGACCGATATCCAGCCAGTAAGCTATATTGTTGTAAAGTTTTATCAAAATCCGTTCAGTAGTTTTTGCATGAAAGAGTAACAAACATTCATCCATACTCACAAACTTTCGCGTTTATCATATTTATAAGATTCTATATATCTTAAAATAAAGTGTTTATTTTACTCGGTAATCGGTTTGCAAACAAAAGTCATACAAATTCGCAGGCTCAACTAGTCTATACTAATATTATAAAGCTGAAGAGTTTGTTTGTTTGTTTGTTTGTTTGAACGCTCTAATCTCAAGAACTACTGGTTCGAATTGAATAATTATTTTCGTGTTAGATAGTCCACTTGTCGAGGAAGGCTTTAAGCTTTATAACATTACACTACGACCAATAGAAGCGACGCATCAGTGAAAAATGTTGCAAGAATTATTAATATTTGAGGGCTTCCGTTACGTGCGCTGTGCGAACGAAGTCGCGGGCACAGCTAGTGTATAATATAGGCTTTGTTACAGCAACTATAGGACCCAAGTCGGGCCCATCGGATCCCAGATTCACGGATGTGGTGAAGCTGAGCGACTACCTGCAGCACGGCCGGAGACCGCAGTTCTGGGAGGAAAACTACGTCAAAAGGGTAAGTTTTTTCTGCCCTAGTCGTTTTTACCATGGGCGTTTAGTCATTAAATGTAATATTATTTTTTTTTTATTTTTTAACTGACACACAGAAGCACATTTTTATATGTATGTATATATAAATGACTTTTATGTATTATATTGTAAAATAATTTACTAATTATATTCACCATCCTGTTCATCATCATCATCATCCATGTTCTTTATCCTTGTTTGTTACCTCTTTAACTGTATTGTTTTTAAATAGCCAACTTAAATATAAGTTTACTATTAAAGATAAATTCATGAGGTGTGTTGAAAAAGGTCGTATGATATACGTGCGTATTTAACGCACTCGGCTCTATTACGCCCTCGCCTCCGGTCCGTGTGTTATAACCATCATAAAGCACTTAAATCATAATTTACTAATATATGCGCTCTCGTAGACTAGATGGTGTTATTGGTTTTACTAATTATATAAAATTATATATTGTGTATAAGTTGTAAATAAGCTGTTGATTACCTAAAATAAATGAAGAAATTATGCCAACAGTTATTTACTATAACAAACCCGATGCTTTGTTATGGTAAATGACTAATGGTAAGTGGCAACGGGTACTAATGGTAAATAATATCAATAACCCAGTACAACCCACACAGTGCCATCTAGTTCCAAGCTAAGTAGAACTTGTTATGTTATGGGTACTAGACAACTGATGTAAATACTGAAATACATTTTTTAAATATGTATTGAACTGACTTCTGTTACAGAGCTAATGCTCGTTCAGAACCTAGGTCTTTTTTATAGTATAGGGGACAAACGAACTTGCGGATCACCTAACATTAAGTGATTACCGCCGCCCACGAGCACCCGCATCACCAGGGGAATTGCAAGTGCTCTGCCGGCCTTTTAAGAACGAATAAGCTTTTCTCTTGAAGGTTTCAATATCGTATCGGCTCGGAAAACCATTGCTGGAAGGTAGTTCCACAATGTGATTGTGCGGCAAAAAAATTCTAGAAAACAGTGGAGGATCGCTATTCATCCAGATGATCAGGATGGTATTTTAGTTTCTGGCAAGTAGTACATAAAACTATAAATAAATTCAAATTCAAAAATCATTTATTAATGTAGGACATGTTAGCCCCTTATGAACTTCATCAATAGTTTTATGAAATAACTCGAAATAATAAATATACATTATCAGGTGATGGAAGCGGTCCGTGTGAAGGAGTTGGAGATGAAACAAGCGGCTGAGATCTTAGGCGTGAGCTACGGCACGCTGTACGGACGGTATCGAGACGTGTACGGATGTATCAACAGACCCTACCGGTTGGTATTATAGATATTGTTTTGTTATTTCAGCAAGATTCCTTAGCAATGATTGTAGTAGAAACCAAGAATTTTTTATGTATAAAAATTACGTGTCACGTTGTTTGTCTGCGATGAACTCCTACTGAACCGATTGCAAATTTGATTTGCACATTGTGTGCAATTTGATCCAACTTGAAAGATAGGATCGCTTACACCTCAATTTATAGTCGCAATATTATTTTATTGCAAATTATTTTTATATATAAAGAAACTGTTAGCCACAGCAACGCGTGATCGGTGCTGCTAGTAATTCTATAAAAAGTGAAATGTGACTTAAAAAATAGATCATCAAATAAAATTTATAAATATTTCTAATCTTCTTTGTAAATTGCGTATTAACATACCACTAAATATTGCATAATTCTCTTCTATCTGTTCCCCTAGTGTCATCGAAATATTAACAAAATTTATTTCTTTAAAGAGTTAGCAACATTATTAACAGAGTATCTGAAACTGTTAGCTTATATCTATTTTCTAATAATATTAAATCAGCGAGATAAACTAAGGAAGCTCTTCTTTGAATCATAAATAGTGATAACGATAATTTGAGAATATATATAACTCGGTAATGATTTATTATTGTAATCTTGTTCTTTTTGGAAGTACGGCTGTGTGCTAAACAGCTATACCACTGAGGCCGTTGACCTAAAAATAACATATGGAAGTAAATGTAGCATATTGGTAATAGTATGTGTGATGTAGGACGGCGCGCGACTTCTGGCAGGCGAAGGGCCCGTCGGAGGTGCTGGACCGGCTGCAGCGCGGGGAACTGTCGCTGGACGCCGCCGCACTCGCGCTCGGAGTCAGCATCGCCAACCTCTCCGCGTACATCACGGAGGTGCCCCCGCTGGAGAAAGGTCACTACACCTCGCACACGCCCGCTACTCTCTACTACTCCACACTACTGTGTATTACACAACACACGCAACATATAACACACACAACATACAACACACTCGCATATAACACAGTTACATGTAATACACTTGAATACAACACTATTTGTATATATTACAATTGGATACATTACAATTTACACTTTTACATCCGATATTTTTACATACAATTAGAGTATAGAGAGTTAGGTTAAAGACTTCTTTTAAATAAGTGATACGTTCTTATTCTATTTATATATCTTGCCGAAAAAAAACCTTTTTTATGTATTTTGTATTTTATATTTGGATATTATATTGGACTGCGTTGTTTAGAGTTCGAGCCGATCCCGATCGAGATCGACCCGTCGCTGAAGCTGCGCGCGCGCACCTACAGCAGCAAGCCGCCCCCCCGCAACAAGACCCCCGCACCGCCGCCGCCCGCACCGCCTACACCCGCGCCCGCAGACAAGGTCCGATACTATACAAATCACTATTTTTATTCATGTAGGTCTAATCACAGACACTTATGGGGTAATAAGTCAAATCTACTGCTTCGGAGTGCTTTAGAGCTAAGAACTGACAGGAAACTCAGCTCTTATTAGTCAAATATACCGTCAGTTCGAACCCTTTATATCGATTGCCCGTCCAATTCAAACGGGGATCGAAATTACGACGGCCTGAGCCGAGTTTCGAACCCCTAGCGGTGCCCTCAGACTGAAATTGTATCCGTCAGGCGGTAGTTTAAACATTTTTCAATTAATGTATTGATTTTTTACCAAAGACAATGTTAGGGTTGTCATTCCTGTAAAAAAGTAAATAACTACCGTTGATGTTATCAACATCTAGACTCCCCTACCCCCCATGTCATCCAAAATAAGCAAAGTAAAGACCTCAATTGAAAATAAAAATAATAAAGATTAATAACGACTTAAAATAATAATAGAAATATTAAAAGTTTAGGCACAGAAGAAACGGTTATAACTTACTTTACATTTCGCAGCCGAAGAAAGTGATAGTGGGCAGTATAACGGACGAGGACCCCATCCCGGCGACGGTGATCACCACGCACGAGGGCAAAAATGCCTTATCGGGTAACACCACCACCACGGCAACCACAGCCACCAGTGAGTGAATTCTCAAGCTATATATATATATATAAACATAAATAGAAATTATCCTCATTCATATATATTGGTAAAATAACCTCAGTCGGAACACAAACTGATCTGAGTGAGGTTTTATTCACTTAAAATCATCATATATAACATATACATAAATAGAAATAATCCTTATTCCAATAAAGTTTAGAAGTAAGAATAGTCTTATTTTCTTGCTCGTTCTTGTGATGTGTCTGAGTTCCAAATATTGGTATAATATATTCAATTTATATTTACAAATTGAAGTAACCCCCGACACAAAAAAAATAGAACAGTTAATACTATGTATTTAACACCCCCACAGCAGGTTACAAAAATAATAAATAACTCGAAAAACCTAAACAGTTGTTCATAAATTGCAACGAAGATCATAATCGGTCAATTGGTTTTGGAGATACAAAAGGAGTTTAGGAGCCATAGACACACACTACACATATACATACAAATGTACGAGGATGGTTTTCAGGGGGACCCATGTGGCGACCTGACACGGTTCAATACTATTAATATCCATTGCTATCTGTCCCCTTCCCCCATTAATGGGGACTAAATGCTTAAAAAAAAGAAGAAAGTCGTCTTACAGAAGTAAATTAGTTTTTTTATTTAATTCAACCAGGCGGCAAATGGCCATCCATTCGCGTGGCGAGTCTAGACACCCTCCGAGGGGGTGGTACGGGGGGCGGCAGTACAGAGCCGGCGTCACCCTCGCAACTCATGCGCTCCCGGCCCGACCTCACCATAGTGGCCGCCCGGAGACCAGACACCAAACGCGACGACAACGGCACGTGATCCCAGCAACACGCACAGACGAGCGAGTGAATTCAAAATGGCGGATTTTGTCCACAAAATGGCGGACCCAGCTTGTGAAATGGCGGACTTTTATTCACAATTTGAAATATTGTGCCGCGGATGAAATCTGCAGTGTTGAATTCGTTTATTTTAGACTTGTTAGTTTTTATTGTATTATATCAACGAGGTAGGACCTATATATATTAATATAATATAGATTTGTCATAAAAAATATGCAAGAAACTTCAATCGAGTGAAAATGCATTGAAATCATTTCTTATAATGATAATTATTTTGTTACAAACACGCTTAATACTAAACTGATGTAACTCGAAAATTGAATACTTTGGAAATTCAACCTTAAAATTAGAATTATTAAAGTTTAAATAATTTTTAATAAGTACGTATACACTTATTGTCTCCTATTTTGTGATGTAACAAATATTCAATTATGAGTATATAAAATAATTGTTTTTAATATTCCAATGAAAGGGATGAATTTGTAATTATTTATAAACAATACTAATTTATTAGGTCACTTGAAAATGTTGTTAAATTGATTGTAGAAAAATCGACATTTTCCATCAGATGAGGTAAGACCAAGCGCAAATTCATTTATAATAATAATAAAAAAAAATTTTAGTCGATTTTTTTTTAATTATACAGTTTATTATTAAAGCGTGCGTTTGTATTTAATTTTATTTGCAATGATAACGAAAATCATGTATTATATGTTGTTTTATGGATATTGTATAATGACACAACTCGAAACAATATGAAGACCAAAGAATCTCTGAAGTGTTGTATTTCAATTATATAAATAAATTAAATGAAAATAACGAGAGCGACGTAGCGTAGTGATTTACTATTCTGAGAATTCGAATCTTGTGAACATCAAAAAACTTTATAACAATAATAATATCTAAGGACAATTCACACAGCGCCATCTAGTCCCAAGTTAAGCAGAGCTTGTGTTATAGATACTGGTACAACATAAACCTTCCTCTTGAATCACTATCTATTACTGAAAATTGTATTAAAGTCCGTTGCGTAATTTAAGAGATATAAACGAGCAGACAGCGGCGGTGCCTTTGTTTTATATTTATACTATATAAATATTATTTATATAATTGAAGTATTAAATAAATAAATGTTAACTCATAGAGTTGTGTCATTATTGGGAAATATAAATATGTAAAAATGAAAATTATACTCGTTAGGTGAGTTATATAAATATATATATAGATAAATATAAAAAAAATATAGTTAAACGAACAAAATGATTTATACATAGATCGGCGTTGAAAATCAAAGTATTTCTTGTCCAAAATTTATTTAGTATATTTAGTTTTGTTTGTTATTAGATGTTCTATTTAAAAACGGGCGTAGGAAATTGTCTATACATTGTTGTAAAGTATGATACGGTGTTTATAATTTCATATGGTATTCTAAAATTAAATAGTTTAGCAGTTTTAAATAAATATAGTCTAAACTATAGAAAGACTGTTGTTTTTATATTTGCCATATGGCATAGGGAGGCAAAAGTTTGTTTAGTAGAAATTAAATAGTATATTGCATAGCAATGGGACTATTATACTTCGTCCTCCAAATTCGCTAGTAGGGTCCTCTCAGGATAGTTAGGTTTCCAGAGGGGACCGCGTGGAGGTCGACCAAGCATGGTGCAATGCTAGCAATGGGGCAGTATTCTCTATTATTACATCCCCAATCCTCATTCACTTGGCGTGTAAAATGTTTAGAATGTCCTAATGTCATATGGATGTATATGACCATTTCCTTCGCCTGTAAAAAGAACGAAATTATTATTATTTAAGTATGCCACATGTAGCTATAATATAAAAATAGGAATAATTTGTTTTATAGTAACTTTACACTCGTTGACAGAGACGGATTGTGTTTGATGCAGTAAGTGAGAGTGAGACAGTTATATCTTTCATTGTTGCTCCCGTTTCATTGTAAATAGTTAGTGTTAAATTAGATATAAGCATGTTAGAAGACCAAATTATACCGTACTAATATAAAAAAAATATTGTTTGTATGTGCTTAGAGTTAAAGAAATTGTGTATAAAAAAATATGTCATTTTTTACTGACACGCGTATTAAATATCGAAAAATATATTTTTAGTTATATAAAAATAGTATAGAATCAAGCCACATTTCCATAGATTCTAAACGAGTATTTTACTTTTTAGTATTAATAAATATTATATATATAAATATAATAAAAAACTCATTGTATATTTATCAATAATTGTAATATTTTAATTTAAAATGTTATATATTAGAATGTAATTCTTGCAGGTAATAATTTATATGAACTGATCTTATAAAATCAAACCAATAGTGAACTGATTATGTATATAAAATTATAATCAACACCCGAATCAAAACAGAGACTGTAATAAATTATTACTAAAAGTCACCTCGATTACGTTTAAAAAAAACGCATCATAATCGGTTTATTTAACAGCTACGATGACACGACATATTTTTTATTGGGTTGTTTGGACTATTGTTGGTGCTTGGACCTGTAGTACTGCAACCTACTATATATAGATCTATAGTGCTCGCCGTTTTTTAGAATACGTTGTCAAGGCCCGTCAGGGATAAGGATATATGACGCGTTTTTTTGAGTCGGGTGTTAAAACAAACATATAAAAAACTACATAAATTATTTTAAAAACAAGATATTTTTATGTTTCAATCCGAATTATATTGCGTGGCGTTAACTAAATCGTCATTATATATAACTTTAGTATAATATATATATATATTTGTATATTAACTATAGCGCTATAAAAATGTATAAGAACCGTCGTAAATATAAGTTATATAGGCTAATGTATAAAAAATGAATTATATTTATACATTCACTTGTTCCTCGGATGTCTTTTCTCAATTTTCTGATAGATCTAAGTGATATAACGGAACAACTTGCAGAATTGTATGTTTTTGTTCTGTTTTACAAGTTATTTTTGACGGCCTCGGTGGTCTAGCGGTTTAGCTCACCGCTTTATTTCCGATGGTCGCAGGTACAATACAAACATTTGTATTCATGAGTATGAACGTTTGTATCGGTCTGCGAGTTTTCTATGTATATTATGTATGCATTTACAAAATATATATTTAAGTATTTGTATCAGTTGTCTAGTACCCATACAGGCTCTACTTAGCTTAAGACTAGACGACGCTGTGTGAATTGTCAGGGTTATTTTTATTGTTATTTTTGAAAATAACTAAACGACTAATAACTACATCTTGACAGCAACCTACCTATTTTATAAATTGTCACTAAGACTCTGATTCCCAAAAATAATCTTTCGGGGACACGAGAAGAAACGAAAACTCTGACTCCAAAAACGAACAGTGATTTTGTGTTGCAAAGATTCTTTGCAGATCTTTGTCATACAATGTCACGGTTGGTCAGTACCCTCCTCTCCCTTAAAGTGTGACGATATTTATCAATGACACCTTATCTGTCCGTCTATTATAACATATATATAAAAACAAATAATTTTGTGAGTTGTACCGCTGTAAACAGAGTTCATAGTTATTCTTATATTTAAATAATAAATAACGGTTTTTATATAATTTCGGTCACAATATTAACTATAACTATTGCTTCCTTTCCGAAGTCGGTTAAACTCAATCGTCCAGTTCAATGTTTTGTAAAATTGAATTAATTTAATTCAATCTTATATGTTTATATATACCCTGTTAGCATAATAATAGAGTTCATACTTCATTGTATAAGAACGCTAAAAATAAATGCCATACATCGAAATGGTGAAATATGACTTCTATTATTTTGTGCATAAGGTATATAGTTTAATTTAAATGTTACACAAAGAAATGTAGAACTAAATTATTTACCAAAATAGGTGGACCTTCTCTGTTACATTGTATTTCTTTTTATAATTAATACGATAAAAAAATCAAAATTTTTAAGAATAATTTTTTTAATACTTTCGCTTACTGTGACCCAATTTTAACTTTTTTCATTTCCGTTAAGATATTTCAAGGAATATATTTGTTTCAATTATTAATTAAAAAATAATTTCTTTTTATACATATAATTAATAACAATCTCCTTTTTTTAGACGAAAATTAATAATCTTGTTCCATTTTACATTTATTGGAGAGTAAAATGTAATTGTATGAGGAGTCCATCTATCATACAACATTTTACTCTACTTAATTACGATAAAATCGTACGACATTATGACGTGCGATAAAACGTTTTAGAAGCGACCGATATTTCCTTTAATTACCTCGGTATTGCAATGGTCCATTTTATATGAAATTCATATATATATTGAAGTTTTTAGCCACATGACTAATTTCTACTATACTACTATATTTTTTCTAGAGGGTAGTCTGTACGCAGGTGAGGTGCGACCCCTAAAACCCACCCTGACCAATGTATTGTAAACATTATGAAACTATCCAACAATTGGATGTCTTGTACCAAATTGTCATATAAATTTAAGGTATACTTTCTAGTTGTTAAGTTCACTTGATATCGGTGGAGTGTGCTGCAGATATCATAAACAGCATTATTATATAATATTATTGCTAACAATGCTCAATTGTAACATTAAAATCGATCCAGTCGGTCCAGTTCAGCTAGCTATTTCACTTGAGAAGAACTATCAAGAAACTGACGAACGGAATATTTGTTTTTAATCAGTTTTTCTTATTATTTATGGATGGTTTCTTTTAATATAGAATTTTTGGTATATTCATAAAGTTATACTGAACTCTTTTGTACTATTATTTCGTGTATCGAAATAGGCTTTATTGTAATTAAAAAGGAAAATATGTAGTCGGGTCTTAACACAAATAATTTATGGTCAATAAATGTAGTTATCACAATGTTAGGTCCCGAGCTAACTACGGCAAGTGCAACCTAGTCGAAACATCGACTGATGTAAATAGTTTATTTAACATTATATTTGTATTAAGACCCGATGTTAATAAAAATAAATGAAATGTCAAGTCGGTCCATATGTTTTGTTTATTAATATGATATGTTATACTAAATTTATATATTATACTAAAAATTCTATTATGTAATAAAAAGAAATTAATTATAGTGTTAGTCCGCTGCAAGTGCACCGCCACCGAATCGAAATTATATTATAATTTTGTTATCGACTCATAGGCTATTATTATGATTGTTTTATTTATGAAAGTGATCGGCGACTATTCAATCGTTAGTATTTTTTATCGCTACAGGTAACTCATGTTAGTTTTATAATATTTTAAGTGGTGCCGCCATATTGTTGTCAGTAAAATGGCGGACGCAGAGTTTATGGTAATGGAACGTAATTTTAAATTGTTGTAGCTGTCCGTGTCAGATTTGCGCGCGAAACTTGGAGGCTCATAAAAGTATAGCTTTTGTTTATGTTTTATATATAAAATTAATTGAGAATTATGTAAAAATGTAGTTTTGTATTAAAATCTGCAATACTAATTATTAGAATTGCTTATATTGTGATCATAAAATGTTGGTCATGAATAATTTATTTTTGCCGAAGATAACCCTGAATTAAATTCACATTTTAGTTAGGATTGTCTCTAGATGTGTGGCAAAACTGTTCATTAATTAAGATTGAGTTTATGAGAATACGTTTTTTTTTATGATTAACCCATATAAACTACATTACATATGTTATATGATATACAAACGTAGATTAAAAGTTTAGTAATATAGAATTATTTATGAGGCTTTTAACAAAGATTATAAGTTCAACGAAGCCTTAAAAACCTAAAATGTATTTAATATCTTCACATCAGATCCGTTATGGGCTATGCAATGAGGCTTATAATAAAGTAGTATAATGGAAGTCCAAAAAACTTATAAAATTATATATATATGTCATGCGAAGTCCCTTACGGCGTAGATAGAGGTCTTATTATGCAAATTAAATATACTTTTAAAGGTTTTATTAAGGTATGAATGAGCCAAAGTATTTTTATAGCAATAAGTGGTACTGGAAGTCTGCGTCCGCCGTTCAGCGAGGCGTCACCTTAATTACCTGTTAGGAAATTTAAAAATAAAACTTTAATCAACATCTGTGTTTTATTTGTTCGTCAATTTCATGGTGCTGTTCATGATAATCGAATCTATACATATAAATAAAATGGGAGTGTCTGTTTGTTATATTGAAATAACCGTTTTTTACTACGTGCATATGAATATAAATACGGAACATACACCAAACTAACATTTTTTAAAATTGTTGTCTGTTTGTTTTTTCCGGCTGATCTCTGAAATGGTTGGACCGATTTTGACGAGACTTTTATTGGCAGGTAGCTGATGTAATAAGAATTAACTTAGGCAACTATTATTTTGCAAAAATAAAGTTAAATTCCACACAGACAAAGTCGCGGGTACAGCTAATATATTATAAAATTTACCTACATGCATCAAATATCTGCGTATTTATTATTCCAATTCTATAAAAGTTGACTACGAAGTTATGCGGGACACCTCAATCTCACCTATTTCAGCCGCTAGACAGCTAGCTTTGTAAGCTGTTTCGGCTGAAGGGTAAGTGAGATAGGAATGTCATCTTACTGTAACATGGTGATGTCATATCCATATATAGGCGATAACCTACAAGTGGACAGCTTGCATATAATTTCAATTACATAAAACATAGGTTTTAAAATATTATTAATGTATGTATTAGCTACAAGTTACTATAAATCTTCATAGTATATTGCTATAAAATAAAGAGACCGAATGCAGTAAATAAAAAAATATATTTCAAATAAGTTGACAAATTTCAAATATTTACAAATACCAACCATTTTCACAAATATACCAATAAATTAAGAGATAAAATACAAATATATAGAAACGTAACAACCGGGTCAACTACTTGTCTACATGTTTTTAAAATTGAAAATAACCAGTAATATTGACATTCTTGTGTTGAAATATAGTATAATTTTAATAGGCACTTTCTTAGCAGCCTGTGGGGCTAGATAGTACGTGATATTTGTTTTTATTACTTCAGCTCTACTATCTATGGTAATATAAATATTCTATAACGGTTTTCGAATATCTAACCAGCATGGTATTAAAGATTATATTTTTATCGTATACTGTATAACACAACGAATTTATAATTATTTAAAGTACGAAGTAAGAACGCAATCTATGAAGTTGGATGGTGTTCATGCTTCGTACTTGATAAAAAATAATATTTGAATATATTTGAATGAATATTTACATATTAATTTTTGGAGGGAAGAGTGTTACATTAATTTATTCTTTAGCTATCTAATTACTTTTTAAATTCGTTATAAAATATTTTCGAAAATATGTATTGTATAATGACGAGGAAATATTACAAAAATATATATAATTCTTGCTACAATCATATATAGTGATATAATGCATCAATAATTTAGCATAATTTCGAAGAGATATAGTATTTAGTATCGCTGTTTACACTACAAATATTCAGTGATATAATTTTTTTACATTTTCCATAGTTATATAAAATTCTATATTCATTTGCGATTTCTACAATTTAGATATTCAACTATTAGGCCACGCGTATAATATATCACATAGGCTAATGTTACGTCAAATTTCGTGATCGTATTTGTAATATGTTTTTATTTTTATATTTTGAGAATAATATTCTAAGCTCAGATATCACATATTATAATATGAATTTTATATTCAATTTAATTTGAAAAGGGATAAGAGCAGAGTTTGAATAGGTCTGGATGTTTTATATATCTGTATTCACAAAAAATCTAAGTATTTATATCAGCTGTCTAGTACCCATAACATACGCTGCTTACCTTGGCATTGTATAGTGGTGTGTGAATTGTACTGAGATATTATTATTAATAATATTTATTATGAAATAATATAGATAAAAAAAAGTAATAATACATTATTAGGAACAGTTGATATAATCGTGGTAGACTTGAATACATATTGATTTAATATAATATTACATACATTATGAGCGTTTACTGTACGACTAACAACGTCTGACTTCTTAGTAAAATTTTAACATACATTTTTTTATAACACAACGGTGGCAAACAAGCATACGGCCCGTCTGATAATAAACGATTTCAGTCACGTTGCCGATCATTAAGAAACCGTAAGGTATAAATACATCCTTTCATTCTGGGATGATTTTTGTTTGTAATAGCTACTCTAAAAAAACATTAATAGGTTATAAGGTCTTCACCTATAGAAAACTGCATTATCAGCGGGGCAGATAGAATTCCATACGTACGATGTGAACATAAATATTTGAATTGCATTTGCCACCACTTTGGTATAAAAAAAACATATATTTATATTGACTGCTAACCTTTTCTAGTAATCTTAATGTTTTATACACAATTACAAAGATAAAGGAACAAAGCTATACAGCCTAATCGTATGTAACTTTTTAAATTTAGCCAAGCAACAGACGTTGTCAGTCTCACATTACATTTTTCTATTCTATTAACAACTTTTGTCTACCAAATGACCAGTAACAATTATTCTACATTACAAACACACAATTCAACCCTAACATGCGATATCTCATTTTGTTCCTAAGAAAAAAACAACAAAATCCACCTTAATTATCCCTTGTGAGAAACGTACACAATATTCGCCGTCTCGCTCGCACATATAGGACAACCACATATATATTTAAGCTTAACAGATCTTTGTCGTACTTATAATAATTGACATATATATATATAAGACACATAAAGATTAGACGTAATAACATATCTTAGGCCAGTATTAGGGGTATACTACACTATCACAAATATAAGGGCCATCAGTTTAGGGTCCTACAGGTCCCAGTGATCAACGTCACATACGCCGAGTTACAAATGTTTTCCACGATGTTAAAAAGCACAATACGTATATTAATTTATAGGAAAAAATTCAACCCCTTGTAAGCACAGATTATTATATTAGAGCCCGTTAGTTTCTGTCCCCCCAGTTTCGTCCTTTACCTGTGACAGCACGGACCAGCAACAGTCTCGCGCGCGCACGTTCTCTAATTATAATAAAATTTAATTACAAACTGAGTGGAAAAGTGTGTAAAAGCTAGTAAAAACTTCACCTGGTCATCACCAGACTCGTATTAAGAAGATCCCAGGAATCCCGATCAGGAGTATACAGGTACGAGGCAGACGCTTTTACAATACAGTATTTTCCCTAACAGAAATTATAATCCTATACGTGTGATAATATAATACATCTAATAGTTTTTTTTCGTCCACAGTAAACTGTGATAGGTATTAATTTATTAATATTTTCTGTTATAATACGCAATTATATTATAATTTACGGGATATTTCGTACAAACAAATTATTCTCGTCTCGCACGCCATACAATACTTTCAATAAATAAATGAAATGGAATGAATTATGTTGTACATACACCCGTTTTTTATACAATGCTTAGAGCACAGTCTAGTGAATCTGCGGCTTACTTTTTAATTTGAGGATTGATAGACATCAATACCATACTTTATGAACGTAGTGTCTATGACAAATTTAATATTTTTTATATAAAATGCTATTTTCGATGCATGTTACAAAGCGTGGCAAATAGAACTCAAACACAACCTATTAAATATTTATCATCTGTAGTTATTATTAAATAATGAATTCGATTTTTAAAATTACACGTCTATAGCTCAACAATAACAATATATTTTATCTGTTTTCTTAACATCTGTGGAGACAATAAAAAACATAGTTTCATTATAGTGGGAAATGACATTCCTTTTTCGAAATTCAAAATTATAATTCAACGCTTACAATTTTTATCTGTACAGTTGAAAGAACTGTCAGCTGTCAAAATGACATTACCGCTCCGTCTGTGAGACCAATTACAGGGCTTCTCACAGATGGGGCTATAGTGTCCGACTACAATAATTGGCTCCTTCGCAGATGAGAGGTCAAAAACGACTGTGGTGACAAAAAAGCATAATTTTATTAATGACGGATATAACATTCTAAATTCGATTTTTAAACTTTATACAGCTGAAACCTTTCTGCACAGATAATATAGCTGTATGGCAGTGGCAAAACTTACATGCATGCAAATATCATTTACAGAATTTCATTTAAAATTACAATAGTCACATAAAAGCCCTACACAATTACTTATATTATAATAAAATTAAATAGTGTTATTTATCTACAGTCACGTAACCTAATATGAACTATATGAAACGGCGGCCTGCTAACCAAACCTGGGGCCGCCCGGTGCGCGTAACATGTCGCCGCTCAGTTGAGAGGCGACATGTAGGTGATATCGTCCCACGGATGGCGGTACAGTGGCTGCTTCATCCTCTTCTGGTCTAGATAGTGGCCCACGAGACCGATGGTGCGGCCAAGCACGAACAGCGCGTTGATTGTTCCCATGTTGATGTAATTGTTGCCTTCCTCACTGAAAATAAAGTTTATTTTATCAATTTACTGACAACTAAAAACTACATTTTAATTACGACCGCCTCGGTGGTCTAGGGGGTTTAACACACCGCCTTACTTCCGATGGTCGCGGGTTCGATTCCAGTGAGCGAGGAATCTAACCTGCACCTTATTCATCAATTACAAACACATAGCATACGTGAAATATAGAAAAATTAATTGTATGAATAAAAAAAACTGCAGCGCTGATATTTTGTTGTTCAAATATATTCAAGTATTTTTTATAAAACTAGAAAATGTTTCTGTGTAAACAAAGAAATGTTTTATTTTATTTTAAAAAAGCTTTTATTATTTAGTATATTAGATACTGAATAATACTTATAACTGACCTGTAAATAAAGAAGCGACATCATCATCATCTCGTTAACAGTCACAGTTATAGAAAAAACAGTAGTTATGAAATTGACTACAAAAAACATATTACTTTTTTTCGTAAAACTAATAGTTTGAATAGGCGGGGAAAAATGTTGGGGCACTTAATACGACACGACGAACTAATTAACAATATTATAGAAGGAAAAATAGATGGAAAGAGAGGAAGGGGAAGACCGAGACACAGCTATATCAAGCAAGTTAAAGAAAAAGATGGAGTCGTGTCGTATCACCAGCTAAAGGGACTGATAGAAGATCGTGGAAGGTGGCGGGAGCTCCACCGACAAGAGCACAGCTCTTAAATTATGAATGAATGAATTGTTTAAAAAAAAAATATTAAAAAATCCATCCTTTCCCCTAATTTTTCCATAGTACAACGTCTTCATTCCCTGTACTACATATAGACTCACGTGGTGAACAGCTGGCAGTGCCGGAACATGTCGACCATGGCTGCGGCCACGATCCCGTCCACGTTGAGGATGAGGTTGGGCTTCTTGCGCGTGGTGATGGCCTCCACGTCCAGCGCGTACCGCGTCACCGGCCAGGCCGGCCAGCGTGACGTCACGAACGACTTCAGCTCGCGCACGCGGGAGTCGGGGTTGTTGATCGACTTCACCCTGTATTGTTATGTCAGATTTAAAATTAGACTTATGTAATTTTGAAAATTATTTTTACGTAATTTTCAATCAATGATATGCCGGCCGATAGAGATCAGTGGAAGAGAGTGACATACTGGGCCGGCCCCAAATAATAGGGTAAATTAGTTTTTATGTTACTTTCAATTTATTTTTTATATACGTTCCAACAGGATTAGCGCGAAATCACGAACGACTTCAGGTCGCACACGAGCGAGTCAGGAGACTCACCCTGCATCATTATGTCTCAAAATGTATTTTATGTAATTTAAAAATTATTATAACATAATTTTCAATCAATATTTTTTTGCAATTTCTACACGGGCTATCGCGACGCCCTTAGTCGCGCGTCTGAGTTGTTGACTCTTATCTACATTTTTATACAATTTTAAAAATTGAATTGCAAACAGGCTTACGGCCCACCACGTGTCACATTCACCACGATAGTCGGACAAGGCCTGTGCTCGATGCCCTCACTCTCTCTCTATATATATATATGTAGTGTGTGTGTGAGTGTGTGTGTGAGTGTGTGTGTGTGTGTGTGTGATATATATATGTAGTGTGTGTGTGTGTGTGAGTGTGTGTGTGTGTGAGTGTGTGTGTGTGTGTGGTACCTGTGTCCGATGCCCATGATGAGTTCCCCGCGCGCGCGCTTGTCGTTGACGAACTCCTGCGGATGTAGTCCGCGGTCGTGCGCGGCGCAGAAGTCAGCCGCGGCGCGGTCCAACGCGCCTCCGAACCGGTCGCCCTGCACACACACATTCACATTTCATTCTTTACGAAAAGCACAAAATATATTTTCGTGCTATATAATACGACGACAGTAATGGAAACACTAGTTAGTATATGTCCGTAAATGTTGAAAATATCTTGTGGAAACTTCGTGTAAAAATTTAAACTAATATTTTGAAACGATAATTTACAATAACAAATCGGTATAACAGATACAGCACTACCCCACTATAGGTGGTAACGTTATATGGGAATTTGAAATTGACATATGTCTAATTTAGTCTCCGGGATTAAATAACAGAGTATAGATATTGTTTTTGGAAAATATATATTATACATAATATACATACCAGACCGATACAAACAATCATACTCATGAATACAAATGTTTGCACCGTGCGAAGAATCTAACCCGCGGCCATCGGAAACAAAACAATGTGCTAAACCGCTAGACCACCGAGCCCGTTATTTATTTAAACTTTATTGACTAATAAATTACAGTACAAAAGGCGGACTTGATTCGCGATGGCGAACAGATTTGTGTGTATGTTGTACTGACTATGGTGAGGAGTCCACTGACGACGGAGGAGATGAGGTCCTTCCCTGCGCGCGCGGTGACCATGGTGTTGTGTGCGCCGGACACGGCCGGCCCGTGGTCCGCCGTCACCATCAGCACCAGCTCGAAGAACTTGCACGCCCACTCCGGCAGCTCGCGCTGGAACCTGTGCACCGCCACCGTATATTTGTAAGGGGGCAGAACTCGCACGCTTCCACGCTGATAAATTTCTCGTGAACTTGGCCCGATTGGCTAACTGACCTGACCTCATGCTCAACTGGTGCCCCGCCAGCGTATACCATTAGGCGCAGGCGGGTGCACCATTCCATTATCATCCATAAGAAAATTTAATCACAGACTGTTTGCGATCGCAAATAGCTATATAATTACATTTAAAAAAAAATTATAAAATTCAAATTTGAAACGTCACGCATAGAACATCGATATTATCTTATATATAAAATTCTCGTGTCACAGTTTTCGTTCCCATACTCCTCCGAAACGGCTTGACCGATTCTCATGAAATTTTGTGAGCGTATTGAGTAGGTCTGAGAATCGGGCCAACATCTATTTTTCATCCCCCTAAATGTTAGGGGTAGTCCACCCCTAATTTTTTTTTTATTTTAAAGCTAAACAACGTTTGCCGGGACAGCTAGTTTTATATACATTTTGCAATTCTCGAACATTCCGTGGCGTCACTATTAAAATCAGTATACAATATATTTTCAATATTTTTTTATTTCAATTAAAACAAATTAAACATTGCAATATTCCTCCAGTAAACAGACTTACGCGGGTCTATATTATTCTGCCTGATTGTAAGCGGTAACCGTCGCCTATATACATGGTATAACGTGTCAGCCGTTGTAACTTTCTTAAAATAAAATTATTTATTGCAATAAACATGGCAATTATACAATGTTTTAAATTTGACGCGGTCATTATATATACGTATACTGACAGGATCTTACCACTTTATATTTTTATTGAGTTCCCGATATTTCAGCAGTGTTTCAACCGCCATGATCACGGGTAAACTGAAGAGCAGCGGGTAGACGGTAAATAAAATCTTTTTTATGTGCAGACATATGCGTCTACCTTCACACGTCTTCGTTTGTTGCTACTATTGAAATATCCTAAGTGATCCTGTGATTTTTAATAATCATACGTACATTAAATGTGTTTGTCTCGTCTGTAAACGACCAGTCGTCGTGGAAAGAGCTACCACTGCTTAACCTATTTGATGGAAAAAGGGTGATGTGATAATTATTATACATATTATGATGATGATATGATACTCACCACAGCAAACTGATAACACCGCCGACACCCAGCTGCCTCTCCAGCACCTGGCTGATGGGCACGCCGCAGTAGCTCAGCTCCTGGCCGCGCTCGTCGCATATCGTGCTGATGAACGCCGCTGGTTTGCGAATAATGCCTAATTTCTGTAAATCAAAAACATATCACTATAACACCATACATATACAAGATGGACATGGGATGAAAACAATATGTCAATGACTACTATAAAAGAAACTAGGCTATACGAGATGTTTATACGGTTACATGTTGATGGCATTAAAATAATATGTCAATTCTTTTGTGTGGTAAACGATTTACAAATTATTTTTTAAATGGAAGACAAAAAAAATAGCAAATCTGTTTTACTAGTGGTCGCCGCTTTTTATGTCTTCTACAATAATAATTTGTAGAATTTTTACAAAAAATTGCAGACAATTCTATAGACTTATAATATTAAAGACAAACGATATTGATCTACCAAAATTAATTTAACATTCAGTAACAATAAACAAATGATATTAAAGACCAATATTAATCTATCTCTCAATGATGGAACAGGTAAAGATCTGTAATCGTAATAAAAAAAGAGCACATATGCGTGTGTCAAATTTCTTTTTAATTGATTTCATGTATTTAGACCGTGGGAAATTGCCGTCACCAGTGGCGTGACCAAAGAGACAATTTTATATTAGTATTAAAATATTAATTCATATGTATGTTAGTATATACGGTATTTATAATATAGGTCATTTAGTATATAAAATAAATTAAAAATAATAAAAAAATAGCAATTTGCACTCCTTCTGTATATAAACAATGCAATTTTCGTAAAAAGGGGTACAAAATTTTTGCATCATGTATTAACTTAATAATCCTTATAGAGCCAAGCCTGATCGCCCAGATACTAATCAGTAGATTGACAAACTCACCCTCGCCCAGTCATAGTCCATGGGCACCTTCGGCGGTTCCACCTCCTCCTTGACGATGATCTTGCCGGCGTTCACCAGACTCTTGTACACGCTGTTGACTGCGTTGCCGAGACTGTCGAATGATTCCGGCACCGTGACGCCGTACGCTCGCAGGCCGGCGTTCTTGGCGGCGGCCTTCTCGAGTGCCGAGCCGGCGAGCGAACCCGCGTGCCCGAACTGTACCTCCGATGTGAACATATCTGAGGAAAGTTTACTTATTTTTAATTCTCCTCCGATTGACTCCTCATCAAATTCAAACGGGTATCGAAAGTACTACCTTAGTACTACTTTGAAAAGGTGGTAGGGTAGAAACGCCCACCCGTTACGACCCTACCACGCTTTCAAACATACACGACACCGTCCTCGTCGGCAAAGACAACGACCTCAACCACACTATACCGCGCAAACAGCCGGTCGCCCTTCCGATCCATCCCCCGTCCAATTCAAACGGGGATCGAAATTATGACAAATTATGGCTTGAGCTCGAACCACCAGAGTTGTTGGCTAAAGTCGTATATATGTGGGAGTTGGCCGATTCTCAGCCGCTCCATAAGTCCTTCCGCAAATTTCATGATTTGTATCGTCAAGTCTATTCGGAAGTACATATATCACGAAAACCAGCACACAGCGAATTTTATATATAAGATAGACGAACCCACGCTGACGACTTTGACCAAAGTCGCACCCACGCTGACAAAGTCAATTTGACCAAAGTTTACCTCGAAAACTCATCACTATGACGTTTTGTCAAAGTAACACTTTGGTCAAAGTCGCTTTGACCAAAGTCTCCCTCGAAAACTCATTACTATGACGTTTTGTGACTAGTAGTGAACATGTAACATACCGGAACAGGTGCCGATACACCAGGCCACCATGGGCTTGGTGATGAGTCCGTCGCGGATGGCCCTGCACACGTGATACTCTTCAACACCGCCCACCTCTCCCAGCAGAACCAGCATCTTCACCGCCGGGTCTGCTTCGAATCTACGGGACCACACATTCAAATATATTTTACTAGCTGTGCCCGCTACATCGACCACGTGGAATTCGTGACCTTGGACAGCATTTTTAATTATTTAAGCTTTATAAGAAGCCAAGGAAAAAAGTCTCATCTCTCTAGATTAAAAAAAGGACACAAATTTCTATACAAACTTTCATCCGCTATTTTATATTACCCCCATTAAAGGTAAATTTTTACAACCTCATCTCCCTTTTCAACCCTTTTTTCGCCATAAAACGTAGCGCCTATATCCTTTCTCAGGGTGACTATCTATGTACCAAATATCATTTCAATCTGTTTAGTAGTTTTGGCGTGAAAGCGCGACAGACAGGCAGACAGGCAGAATTACTTTCGCATTTATAATATTAATAAGGATTCGTGGTCCCGGGAAAAATACAAATTCAAAATAACTTTGTTCATGTAGGTCTATTACAGACTCTTATGATATGTCAACTTTACCGTCAGTTCGGAATGATTTCGAGATGAAAAGAACTGACAAGAAACTCAGCTCGTATTTTTATTTAAATAAATGTTGTACATATTTACAATAATACAGATTCCTTTAAATTCAAATTTGGGAGAATAGAGTGACCACCAGCATATTGCAAAAAGCAAAAAATCTAATCAGTGTTCGCAACCTGAACTGACCAGTCCCCACAAGCAGTACTCGTTCACGAGTATGACGGATGAGCCAGCCATCATTGCACTCAACCATATTAGAGGGAGCACATCGACCCGGTCCACCACGCATTTTACCTAACATTTGTACAACTATATAAAACAATATGAAATCAAAATTGTAATCTACCCATCTAAACTACTCACCTGAGCAGATGGTCGATGAAGGTCGTCCCTGGGTATCTGTCGCCGCCGATGGCGACCCCCTCGCAGACGCCGTCCGCATTCTTAGAAAGTATATTGTTGAGTTCGTTACTCATACCTCCCGAACGGGACACATATGCCACGCTGTAAATATATTTAAAAAAATCACTTCACTGCACTATCAATTACATTAAAAAAAGTACACATATAATAATTACAATAAAAATTTTACAAAATTTGAATAATAATAATAATAATCTCAAGACAATTCACACAGCGCCGTCTAGACCCAAGTTAAGCTAGCTAAAGCTTGTGTTATGGGTACTAGATAACTGATACAAATACATAGATTTTTTTTTTCGTAAATACATACATATTATACATAGAAAACACCCAGACCGACACAAACAAACTCATGAATACAAATGTTTGTGCCGTGCGAGGAATCGAACCCGCGACCATCGGACGTAATGCGGTGTGCTAAACCACTAGACCACCGAGGTCGTCAATGACGTCATGAATGTCATATTTATTTATATTTAATCAACAGCCCAAAAGATAAGTTTCAAGTTTCGAGTTTTAAAAATGATCATATCTCCATACAATGTTTCATCTTTCCTTTCAACTCCTTACATCCATTTTTTCGCATTAAAAAGTAGCCTATATCCTTTGTTAGGGTCTAGACTATGTGTGTAGCAAATTTCATTTAAATCGGTTCATTAGTTTCAGACACAGTTACATTATATATACAAATATAAGTAAGGAAGTAAGGAGTATATTTTCTCCCAAAATGCATGAAAGAAAATATAAGTCACGCTAGCGTACCTGCCGGCCCTGTACAGTTTGCTCTCCACAATGTTGTCGATCATTCCTGCTGTGTTACCGATCTTGAAACATCCCGGTTTGATGCCGCCCACAGTCGCCGGTCCTATTATGTTCACCTGAAAAACGTGAATAGTCACACTTTTATTTAGGCAACAGAAACGTTGGTTTGCATGTTGATTATTATTAAAAATAGTAATAATAATAATACAAATGAGTTATTTTTTCATTTTTTCACGCTCTTATTTACTGTTAAGAATTGGGTTAACGATTAAAAAATATCTGATAAATTATTTCGACCTTTTATGCAATTAGAAAGAAAGAGAAAACTTTTTCATGAATAACGGGTGTACAATTTTACCTATAAGAAGTATTTATTTATAATTTACATCAACGGTTATGGACAAAATATTTTAACAGCAAACTCTGCACTAAGCTCAAGGCTAGTGTCGCAGGAATCAGAAATATTTAATTACAGGAACTTTAACTTAAAACAGGCTCCAGTTTAACTAGTTATAAAATTAACCAATATTATATATTTAAGTAAGTAAGTAAGTAATTTACAAAGAATAATAAAAAATAAAATAACGGTATAGTATGTTATATTTTAACAAAATAATTTCAAATTCAAAAATAATATATATATTTTTTATATTATAATATTTTCCCTACCCTCCAGTTCAGTATATAGATACAATACCAACTCACCCCTCTGGCGTCTGCGAGTTTGATGAGCTTCCTCGTCATGTTCTCAGGTATACCTTCAGCTATGATCACCACCGTGTTGATCTGTGGATGCTGCATTGCCTAATTATAGAAAAGAAAAATACTTATAAAAATGATATACGAAAATTTTATTCCAAAACAATTTTTAAACATTGATAAGGAAGTAGACTTCAATAACATCAAATAATAATATATTTAGTCATGCAGGTATATTACAGACTTATGATATGTCTAATCTACCGTCAGTATTCCAATGCTCTCAAGCCTAAGAACTGATAAGAAACTCAGCTTTTATTCTTTTCAAATGAGCTTGTACACGATTACAAAAATTGAGATTTATTTTTAAATGTTGGCGCCACTGTGTATCTGTACCTGTATATATGCTGCCAATTTAATTTAATCTATGCTATTTGAAATGATGCTAATGTTAATCATTACATAGTATAAAAAAAAGTAGCTGTCGCTGTCTGTCATTCCCTATGTATGCTTAAATCTTTAAAACTACGCAACGGATTTTGAAGTGATTTTTTTCAATAGATAGAGTGATTCTAGACGAAGGTTTATATATATAATACATATACCCGAGCAAAGACGGGGCGAGTAGTTAGTTAAAAATATGTCATTTTGTATGGACAGTGACAGAGTCTTATCGAAAAAGAACAATATAAATCGGTTCATATCTAGTCTTATTTATAAAATTCTCGTCTCACAATATTAGTTATCCACTGAAACGGTTTAAACGATTTTTATTAAATTTTATATGCATATTCAGTAGGTTATTGCCTATAGATTGAGAATCGGCTACTCTCTACTTTTCACTCCTAAATGATAAGGGTTATATAATATATTGCCTATAGATTGAGAATCGGCTACTCTCTACTTTTCACCCCTAAATGATAAGGGTTATATAATATATTGCCTGTAGATTTAAAAAGTTTATCATATACGGATGATTTTAAACGCAAACTAAATGATTTTGTATTGAAGAAGTGTTATTATACAATTAATGAATTATAAAATAAGTGTAATAATGCACATGACATTTAAATTTATTATTATGAAATTGACATTTTTCCTTATTAGACGTGTATCTATTTTAGACATATAATGCATTAATTAAAATTATGACATGTAATAAAATTCAACACAATGTAAATTGTTATGAATAAATGAAATGAAGGGTTGTCCGTCCACCCGTAACGTTTAATTTTTATTTTTTGGACATTTTCTTTTTTTTTTAATTTTTTTATAACGTGGTATTAAAAATACATATAGCCCTAAATTTTCACCCTACCTTACCATCAACCCCGATTTAATTTATATGGCAAAACAACATTTGCGGGGTCAGCTAGTCACCATGTCACCATGTCAGTCAGTAGTCGGCATGTCACCATATACCATAACCATTCTCAATCACCAATTACCTGCAGCGTGGAGTCGTAGGCGGAACGCAGGGACGCGAAGTTAACAAGCACGGTGGCTTCTTGATGTTTACGCATTGCCACGTCCATATCCGAGAATACTATAAAACAATAAAATTACATCAATAGGCTAGGTTTTGGAACAAAATTATCTCATCATCGCCTTGTCTTCATCCCCATAGACAGCCTCGGTGGTTTATTGGTTTAACACAACACTTTACTTCCCACGGTCGTGGGTTGGTTTCCTCGCACAATTTTTGTGTGTTTTCTTGTCCATCTCTATAACGGGTGGACCGATTTTGACGGGACTTTCACTGGCAAATAGCTAATGTTATAAGGAGTAACCTAATTATATTTTAAAAATTGGTTTATTTTAATAAAAAAAAAAACTGTTCAAGTCGTCGATAACAGCTAGTTACAAAAAAATAGGCACTATTTATATTATTAAACGGATCTTAACTCGAATAACTTTAAGGTAAACATGTGCTAGTGCAACCTAGTCGAAATGTCGACAGGTAAATACCTTTATTTACCATAAAATTATACGTGTTAAAACCTTACTACAACAATATAAATAATGTATAATAAACATATAATAAAGTTTAAAAATAGCTAAAAACAATTGGTTCGTACCTGGTATGAAGACCTCTTTGTTCCCAAAGTAATACTTTTGTTTATGGTCAGCTGTGAATGGGTACACTATGGCCACGACGGACGGCTCCGACCGCCGGCATATGTAGTCGAAGTCGAGCATACCCTGGTCATTAAACAGATGGTAAGCGGTCACCGTCGAAGGTCAACATCACAGATATCATTTTTTTTCTACTACTCTAAGGCTGTTGGCCGCAGCTGGCCTTTACAGCTCCACTGGACGATAGGGGACGAGTGCAGATGGCACTTTAAACCCGCGGAAAAGAGGTAATGATGTGAAATGATTATCATACAAATATATGCAGTACACCATACTTTCAAGCCTAAGAACTGACAAGAAACTCAGCTCTTATTCTTTTTAAATGAGCTTGTACAAAAATTGAGATTTTTTTTAAAATGTTGGCGCGCATATATACCTGTAAATATACACACAGATATTTACATGTATATATGCTGCCAATTTAATTTAATCTATGCTATTTAAAATGATGCTAATGTCAATCATTACATAGTATAAAAGAAAGTCGCTGTCGCTGTCTTTCAGTCCCTATGTATGCTTAAATCTTTAAAACTACGCAACGGATTTTGAAGTGTTTTTTTTTTAATAGATAGAGTGATTCTAGACGAAAGTTTATATATATAATACATACACCCGAGCGAAGGCGGGGCGAGTAGTTAGTTAAAAATATGTTATTTTGTATGGAAAGTGGCAGAGCCTTATCGAAAAAGAACAATATAAATCTGTTCATGTCTCCAACCAAACCCACTCCAAACCTGCGGAAGGACTTATGGAGCGGCTGAAGGACAAATCCTATATTTTTCAACGCTCATATATTTTTCAACATCCTTGCTCGTACCCCTTCCGATCGATCCCCCGTTCAACGTTCTGACGGATACGACTTTAGTCTCAGTGTACCGCTAGGGTTTCGAGCCCCGACTCAGGCCGTCGTCTCACCTGTATGGCCCTGTTCTGCATGCCCCATATGATGGCCTTGGTGCGGTCCGAGAACAGCGGCTTAGCAGTGGAGGTCTGCTGGCCGAGGTCCATCTTGGTGGGCGCCTGCGAGCACACCAGGTCCAACAGCTTGTGCGTCAGTTCCGGGATCTCCAATTTCGGTTTGGGCTGCAATTACAATTGTTATATTAATTCAAATTCACAGTTCAAAATATCTTTATTCATGTAGGTCTATTCCAGACTTATATGTCAAATCTACTGTCAGTTCGAAATGATTTCGAGATGAGAAGAACTGACAAGAAACAGCTCGTATTATTTTCAAATAAATGTTGTACTTATTTACAATAATCAAGTAGTCGTTTATTTTATAATAAGCTTTATACTAACTCTATATATAAGGCATGTAAGTAAAGTGTACGTACGTGGGACTGCTGTCGCGTAGTCGAGCTGGTGCTCCTTAGGTATGGGTGAATAAAGCAGATGGCAATAGGGCAAACTCCTCAATAAAACAAAGTGTACGTACGTGGGGCTGCGGCCTGGGCAGCTGCTTGGGCGCGTAGTCGAGCTGGTGCTCCTTGGGTATGGGCGAGTGTCCGAGCGCGAGCCCCACGATGGCCGTCATGTTGCTCTCCGGGCCGAACACATACAGCGGGATGCGCAGCCGCTGGCCCACCTCGCGCATTTGTCTGCAACCGAAACAGAGGGGTGATTACATATTCAATTAAAATAATAAATAAATTAGAATATTTATGCATATGCAGTTGTAAATACTTTTTTTTTCGGACTACTCTAATGCTGTCGGCCGCAGCTGGCCTTTACAGCTTCACTGAACGATAAGGAGCGAGTGCAAACGGCACTCCAAGTCCCTGGAAGGACTTGTGAAGCGGCTGAAGCCCAACTCCTGCCTGACGGATACGACTTTAGACTGAGGGCACTGTTGGTGGTTCGAACCTCGGCTCAGGCTGTAGTAATTTCAATCCCCCTTTGAATTGGACAGGGGATCGATCGGAAGGGAGTCGTAAATACCTGAGTCCCTCCTGATAGTTGGGCCCCCCTCTCCTCACGAATATGGTGACATTGTACTGTATGAGCGCGTCCTTGTACGTCTCTATGGCCGTGATGATGCCGCGGAACGTATCCGCCACGTTCGTGAAGTTGGCAATACCGCCGCCTATTATTAGCACCTGAAAATATATTATTATTTTATTAGACATATGACATTTGCGTATTATTAACGGTATGCTCGCTATGTTTTACATTTATTTTTCAAACACATTTTGTATTGTATAATAAAAAAAACACAACTAAATTAAAATTAAAATAAATCCATAAATATAACTCTAGTACATTTAAATATAATAAATCTTACTTCTTTGTTGAGTCTTTGGACTTATTTTTTTATTCTACCACTCATTCGAAATTCAGTTTTGTCACAAGAAGAATGAGCAAGAAACTTGTTTTTATATGAAATTTCAAACACAAATTATTTGTGAAAAGCAGGTAATAAATTGTTGAATTGTTGGTGTAGAATGTTCATAAAAATTACAATGTGATGTACCTTGCCGTTGGGATGCTTTTCCCGGCACATAAGGATGAAGATGGTCAATGTATATCTCTATAATAACATCAGGAAGAGGTGTTCCTGATGGGGTGCTTCTCCCGGTACATGATACTGAGGATTGTCTACATATATATGGTACACTATGATGAGATGAGGTGTTGTACCTTCCCGTTGGGATGCTTCTCCCGGCACATGAGACTGAAGATGGTCTTGGCGTAGTCTGCGGTCTGCGTCTCCGTGGGCGCGCCCGAGTACTCGCCGTAGTTGGCGAGCTCTGCCGCGCCGCCCAGCTCGCACACCGTGTCCGTGTACACCACGGATGCGCCGCCGCCCGCCACCATCGTCCAGATCCGCCCGCACTTGTTGAGTACCGTCAGCTGAAATCCGGGGCAATAACAATTATAATAAGCAATCAAAATTATAAGGTCGGAAACGCGCACATGACACCCCTGGTGTTTCAGGCGTCCATAGGCTATGGTAAACGTTTACCATCAGATTCAAATTCATTTATAAAATAAATAATTTATTCATGCAGGACATTTTAGCCGCTTATGAATGGAATTATTTTTATATTATAATTTTCTCCCTACCGTCCAGTTCAGTAAACAGATCCAATTGAGAAGTACTGGCTAGAAACTCAATTGAATTACTAATTTTTTCAAAATCTTTTATAGCTTTATTTTTTATTTTAATAGTAAGTTTTTTTCAGATGGGCCGTATGCTTATTTGCCACATATGTGGTAAAAAAAATTAACATAACTGTACATATACAATGTTGAAAGTAATAATAATAATTATATCTCGGGACAATTCACACACTACCATCTAGACCCACGGTAAGTAGAGCTTGTGTTAAATATCTAGATACTTTTTTTTTGTAAATACATACATAACATATAGAAAACCCCAGACCGATAAAAACAATCATAGTCAAGAATACAAAATCTTTGCATCGTGCGAGGAATCGAACCCGCGACCATCGGATTTTTGGCCAAGGTAAAAATACTATACAACTTTTAGCCATCAACTGACCTTCAAACTGGCCCCACTCTTCGCATCCAGATCCGCTATATGCGCTTCCTCAGGGTACGCGTCCCGTCCGAACGGCGGCGGGAACACCACCGAGCCCCAACTCTTGGCGCATATGAAGTCTGCGGTCTGGTCCAGCTTTGCCGCCAGGTCTAGGAGGTAGATCCGCTCGTTGGTCACCACGATGGGATTTATCTCCATATATGTGAAGTACAGGTCCACATACACCCGGTATAGTGAATGTATGAACAGGGTTAGTATTCTGAAAGAAAAAAAAACAATAGAAAGAAATGTGACGACTGTACTGTGTATGTATGTGTACTATTTTATTAAACTTAGCAAGTATAGTCTGTTTCTTAAATGAGGAGACAAATTTGTCATTTACAATGTTGCTAGGTTTTTGCATTTTTAGAACAGAAAGATATACAGATTATTTTGAGGGTTATTGTTTACAAATAGTTTTTTTTATAAAACGCATGACCTTCGTATGGCATCATCTGTACATATAAATAAAATTGGAGTGTCTGTTTGTAATATTGAAATAACCGTTTTTTACTACATGCATGGTGTATATATACACCAAAATAATATTTTTAACATTAACATTTTTTACAATTTTTGTCTGTCTGTTTGTTCTGGCTAATCTCTGAAATGACTGGACCGATTCTGACGGGATTTGTTTTGGCAGGTAGCTAATGTAATAAGGAGTAACTTACGCTACTTTTATTTTAGAAAAATAAAGCTAAAAACCACACGATACGCGAAGTCGCGGGTACAGCTAGTAAATAAATAAAAATCGTATAAAAAATCATAATCTCGTCTCACCTTCTGACTGTTTGTGACTTGACGTTCTTGAGTAGGATCTGGTCGATCTCCTCGCCGGTAGGGAATGTGTCCACGGGCACCTGCGGAACACCAGCACCATTGTCTTAATTTGTGAATATTTATAATGCTACTTATTTTTAATCTACCACTCATTTGAAAGAAAGAAAGAAGAAAGAGAAATATTTATTTAGAGCTTTTCAACAATGTTATAATACAAAAAACAACAAACGAAAAAATATTAAATAAAATGTATATAAAATTAAAATGAATTCAACTTAATGGATTGGAAATCTATTTTTATATTAAACGTTTTTAAAATAAAATTAATATTTAAAAATGTTTCAATAGTCATACTTTTTTTAAATCTACCATTTATTTCAAAGAAAGAAAAAATATTTATTCAGTAAAAAGTTTAAAAAATGTATATATAATTAAACTTAATGGATTGGAAACATATTGTTATATTAAACGTTTTTAAAATAAAATATTGTTTACATAAAATATCACTTTGAGATATCAATAGAATGTCAGCTTTTATTCTATTGTATTCAATTCATCATTATGAATGTGACAGAGAGAAACAGAGTGACAAAACAAGCTAGAAGAAAGAGAGTGTCACCTCTAGCCTGACAGCGAGCGCGTCCACATCTCCTACGTCGACGCCTCCCTGATGGTGAAACAGAATGGTGTCCGACCGCCGCCCCGACTGGATGCACAGGTACATCTCCTCGTTCTGTGGGAATAATATATTTTATAATACGATAATAATAACAATAATCTCAGGACAATTCACACAGCGCCATCTAGACCCAAGTTAAGGTAGCTAAAGCATGTATTAGCTAACTGATAGAAACAAAATCTTGGCTGTCTGTCGTTGTTACTGTATTATTATACAACAATTTTAGAACCCATTTCTGTCAATAAACATATATTGTATTAAAAAAAGGTACGCTAGCCGTCCTCACCTGGTCATGTCTGACGAATGGCTCCACGATGAAGTGTCTCAGCTTGCCGACGGCGGCGCCCACCTGCTGCTCCCGGCCCATGAACTCTCCCAGCCACTTGCGGACCTCTGCCGCCGTCTTGTTCACACCCACCAGGCCCAACTTGCCGCGCCTCTTTATTAACTGGTCCGGCTTCACTACCAGTTGCTGTAATCGATTAATTCCTTTATATATAGATGACTAGCTATGCCCACGGTTTCATCCGTGTAAAATTTCAATAAAAATATAGTCTATGTGTTATTCTCATAAACTATATTACTGTGAAGTTTGAGGGTAAGTCTCAAGATAAGCAAAGCTTTTATTTTAATTACATTTTAGTGCGATCGACCGCAATCTCACTCGATTTTAAGTGAAGATACGGTTTAAGCTAGTATACGCAAATTAAAATAGTGCTCATTTACTCTTGAAAGATCCAATGTTGTAAGAAGGGGGATTGTTACTAATGTAGACTCATGACGCCATTACTAGCAATGTACATGTCAGGTTGACCTCTACGCAATTTCCCCTGGTAACCATCGTGATAAATTCCTCTTAAATGTGACACGATGGGCTAACTAACCTCACCTGTCATTGTAAACCTGATGTTCAGCTTATCATCCTCCACTGGTGCCCCACCTGCGTAGGCCGTTAGCGCAGGGTGGTGCACCATTATCATCCATAAAAAAAAATTGGAAGGGGCAGTAAACACTAACGCTGGGAGAGAGTTCCACTCCTTAGCTGCTGGCATAATAATAATACAAGTAGTACACAACGCTTACCTCCTTAGCGAGCCACGGGTTCTTCCCGAGTTCATCCTCCCACACGGTGCTCTGTTCGAAGGTGGCGAACCGGCTCGGCACCAGCGCTGTACCAGCCGCTATATGCCTATAATTGATAGAACCACAGATAAATAAAACACTATTAACAAAAAATGCTCCCGACGACCTCATAACGGCGGGAAACCTCCTACGAGTCCACCCGTTCTGTCCCTACCACGCTATCACACACACACACGACACCGTCCTCGTCGGTGAGGACGACGACCTCAACCACACCACTGCCTGCGTACGCTCGGGCGCCTCTCCGATCGATCCTCTGTCCAATTCGAACCTCTAGCAGTGCTCGCAGACTATAGACGTATCCGTTAGGCAGGGGTGACTTTCAGCGCTACATAAGTCCTTCCGCGGGTTTCGAGTACCATCTGCACTCGCCCCATATCATCGGGTGAAGCTGTAAAGGCCAGCTGCGGCCAACAGCACTAGAGTAGTTTGAAAAAATAAACAAATAATGCGTAGAACCTTAAAGGAAGCTCCAGCTTGACAGCCTTTTCTAGTTTTTATGTCATTGAAATGATAAACAAGCTATATACATGAACAGTAACAAGTGGCATCACGTTATCAGGAGACAGCCGTGATATCACTATTGCGTTACCATTTCAGAGCACTAAGATGTCAATGCATACGTTCTTAAAATGGAAACATCTACAAAGCAAGCTGATTCGCGACAGAGATACCTCACGTAAACGACTTTTGTCCAAAGTCTACTTCAGTAACGTGCGAACAATAATAATAATAAAAATATCACTGGACAATCTACACAGCGCCATCTAGTCCTAAGTTAAGCAGAGCCTGTATTATGGGTACTATATAGTATCCTTAACACAAGCTCTGCTTACAATACTATTAGATAACGCTAAATTGTCCTGAATTATTGTTATTATTATTATATCTTCACGGCAGAGCTTTTAAGGATAGGCAGAGTTACATGCCTCATCATTATTACATAGTATAAAACAAAGTCGCTGTCGCTGTCTGTCCCTATGTATGCTCATATCTTTAAACCTACGCAACGGATTTTGTAGCGAGTTTTTTTAACATATATTAATTTGTATAGATTTGACTCGGTTTCAAAAAGGTTTTCGTTTCGTGTAGGTATCATTACAGAGTATAAAACAAAGTCGCTGTCGCTGTTTGTCCCTATGTATGCTCATATCTTTAAAGCTACGCAACGGATTTTGAAGCGGTTTTTTTTAATAGATAGAGTGATTCAAGAGGAAGGTTTATAAATATAATACATGTACACCCGTGCGAAGCCGGCGCGAGTAGCTAGTATAATATATGTAGTGTAATATTTACCTGTTTATAAGGTCCTTGCCGGTTGCTTCGTGTATGGCCTTCGAGGACATGTTGTCTGTATTTGTTACTAGTTAGCAGATGTTACTGGCCTCGCGTCATATGGCTGTTGTTATTGTCTGCAAAAAAAAAGAAATATATGATTTTTTTTTATTATTATAGTAAAAACATGCCTGTACTTTGAACACGTGGGTTACGGTTTACGTAAATATTTGTTATTGTAAATACTCAAACAATTTGCGTATATTTAACGTCAAATAATTTATTAATGTATTTCTTTTAATGGATGATAATGGAAAGGTAGATCTGAATGTACTGCTGTCGGGGCATTATTGAAGGATGATAGGATGAGCATGAGCTCAGGTGTAGTGGCGAATTAGCAGGAACCAAAGACAATGGCTTTCAGGAGAGACCACGTGGAGGTCGACTTGTCATTATACAATGTTATCATTGGGGCCATTTGGTTACTAAGAATCCTCATCTTTTAGTGGCAAAGTGATACATTAATAAGGGATAGGAGATATCATTTCATCTTTGTGAAGGACAATACTATTACAAAAGGAATCAACAAAATTGAAGATGTAGAATAGACGAAGATATCACGTAAAAGAAATAGAAGTAGAAAAAAAACCATGTTTAAAACATCGTTCTGCAAACAATCTTTTTTGTTCTGCAAACTTATATCAAAAGGCCAGTAACTTTTGATATAAGTTTTCAGAACATAAAAGATAGTAAACTAAATAAAAATGCGATCTTTTTTGTAATACATTAAAAATTTTATTGCAATTTGAAGATGTTTCAGAACAATAACAAAAATATGTCAGAAAAAAACATGCAAACACAAAACCTCCTTTTATTAAATCAGCAAAATACCTATCCATACGGCTCGCAGTATTGAGAACACCTGAGCTTCTAGTATAGAGTCCAATTTTGAGAACAGTTAAGAAGTCTGAGACCTTCTCAGAGAATTCAAAAGAAGCAAACTTTTAAATCTGCTAATATTCTGGTTGTATTTGGGACAAATTTCGAGAAATAAAAAAAATAAAACACAGAACCTCCATATTTTGACATCGGCTAACTGCCTATGCATACGGCTCGCAGTTTCGAGAACGGCTGAGCTTGAGATACTCGGTAGTAATGGCGTCGGGGCGCCGTGATTGGCGGACGCGGATGGTGCAAAATAAATAAAACATCGTCATAATCAATACTCCCATTTTCCAAATTGGCTAAAATGGTCAGTTGCGTTTTATAGAAAGTTTAAGAACTCAAACCATTTTTAAATCCGTTAAAATTCTGGTTGCAATTAGAACAAGTTTTGAGGGCAGATACAGACAATAACGAATGAAATAAAAAATTAAAACTAAACCGTTTTTTCAAATCTGCTAATGGGTAAAATCAAAGATAAGATAAGCAAACTTGCTTCTTACTAAATTGGCTAAAAAGGCCGTTTGTGTTTGTAATAAGTTTCGCGAAAAAAACAGTGTTCAAACACAATCCCTCTCCTTTAAAATCGGCCAAATGCCTATTGCATACGGCTCGCAGTTTTGAGAACAGCTGAGCTTGAGGTAACCGGTAGTAATGGCGTCGGGGCGCCGTGATTGGCGGACGCGGATGGCGCGTCTCGTCGCGTGATCCCACCGGCCCAGTGTATCGACTGTACAGGCATTTAAGTAATAGGTTTGCCATTCTACAATTTTGTTTTATGACCCAAGCTGAGCTCGCGACTTCGTTCGTGTGAGACGACGAATAACGAATTTCCATACCAACTTTCATCCTCTATTTTATTTTAAGAAAGAAAGAAAAATATTTTATTCAGTGTAATGTAAAAAATACAATATAAACAACAAACGGAAAAAAAAGAGCAAATAAAATGTACATATAATTAAACTTAATTTACCATAATTAAAAAATAAACATTTTTTACATCCAATAATGCACTGAAATGGCTCCACTCAGCTTTAATGTATGTAAAGGGTAAAATTTTTATGACAAACTTTGAAAGTCATGTTTATTGATATTGAATCAACAGCCTAAATTTCTAGCTTTAAAAATAACGATACTCCCATACAACCTTTCATCTCCCTTTTCAACCCCTAACAACCCTTTTTCGCATTAAATGTCCTATGTACTCGGGATATAGACTGTATATCAAATTTCATTAGTATTCAGTAGTTTTGGAAGGAAATAAATCAAAATTCAAAATATCTTTATTCATGTAGGTCTATTACAGACTTATTATGTGTCAAATCTACCGTCAGTTCGGTATGATTTCGAGGTAAGAAGAACTGACAAGAAACTCAGCTCGTATTCTTTTCAAATAAATGTAGTACAAAGCGAGACAGACAGTCACACAGACTGAGGTACTTTTGCATTTATAATATTAGTAAGTATTATTAACCTAAAGGCCTCTGTTGAAAATTAGTGGTGTTTATTTGTTTTGCTATGTTGGTATGGCTGTGTGTATATGTACATATGTTGTTTATATATATACATGCTGCAAATTTAATTTAATATATGCTAATATCAATAATATTTGATAAATAAATATATATTATTATTATTCGTCCCGTTTTCTGTGCATTTGTCCTCTCTTGAAGGACTTTCCAAGTAGAAAGTTTTTTTTTTAATAATGGTATGGAGCACTTGCCTGCGCTACGGTTTACGCATGGTGGGGCACCAGTGGAGGATGATAAGATGAGTATGACATCAGGTCAGTTAGCCCATCATGGAAAATTCACCAGGAATTTAACATGTTGGTTTCCAGGGGGACGGGTTATTCATTTAATGTTAGACATATACACCAATATAAAAATAAATTGGCTTTAAAAAAAAAAGTAATTCAATTGAGTTTCTTGCCAGTTCCTCTCAATTGTATTTATATACTGAACTGGAAGGTAGGGAAAAAATATAAAAAAAAATGATGTTCATAAGCGGCTAAAATGTGCTACATGAATAAATCATTTTTTAATTTAAATTTAATACCATCTAGACACATAAATAAAATTGGAGTGTCTGTTTGTAATATTGAAATAACCGTTTTTTACTACATACATATGAATATAAATAAGGTACATACACCAAAATAACATTTTTTTACAATTTTGTCTGTCTGTCTGTTAGTTCCGGCTAATCTCTGAAATGGCTGGACCGATTTTGACGAACTTTTATTGGCAGATAGCTGGTGTAATAAGGAGTAACTTAGGCTACTTTTATTTTAGAAAAAATCTCTAATTAACCTTTTTGTTAAATTCCACGCGGACAAAGTCGCGGGTACAACTATAGAGTATCCATATAACAGCGTAGTCCGTCATAAAACCCGTCGGAGTACCGTACGCGGGCCGTGCGTCACGTCACGGCTAGCGGGATGAACGACCGGCCTACATACGGGCCGGCCGGCCTTGATCTTCACTGTTACACCACGGCCATGCTGGCAGGCAGAGACGTCTTTGTAAAGTCTGCCTCTTCTAAATTATTATAATGACCCCGCAAACGTTTTGCCATATAAATTAAAATTGCTATTAAAAAATAGGGGTTGATTGATTGAGGGTAGAAGTGTGAAAATTTAGGGTTGTATGTATTTTTTAATGTCACATTGTCAACCTTAACACTTAGGGGTATAAAAATTAGTTATAAACCCATTCTCAGATTTATTGAATATACATATAAAATTTCATCAAAATCGGTCAAGCCGTTTCGGAGGAGTATGGTAACTAACATTGTGACACGAGAATTTTGTATATAAGATTTAAAAAGGGGTACGGAATTGTCAATAACGGGAGCTAGGACTCCGTTGCTAGCAATGTATTAAAAAAAACATCACTATAACGGGCCGGCTTTGATTACACGGCCGTATGCAGGCCAGCAGCGGAAAGCAAGCAAACCTACGGTTTTGGATGGTTATTGAAAAGTCTGTGTTCCGTATTCCGAACCTCCCTAGTCTAAGCAGGTTGTATCACCGGCTTGCTTACTGAAACAAAGGGCGCTTGCTAATACTGGCCACAAATAAATACATGTGGTCACTCAAATTTCGAATTTAGAAAAAAAAACAATTGAAAATAAGAATTGGAATAAAAAGGACGCTCCGTAATTAAAACTATAAAAAACAAAAAATTATCGATTTAATTATTGCAATATAATTGTTTCTATGAAAATATACACTGCGTGGCCACTAAACAATACTACACTTTGGGACTTTCCTGAGCAAATGTGAGTAAGTTTGGTGTTACATTGCTTACTTTGAAATCGTATTTCTCCTGTCCTTTCCATTTTCAATAAATACATCCCGATCTCTATTTTATTTATTACTTTATAAGGATTCGTAATCCCTGTGGAATTTCGTTGAGAACGTTTTAGCTCTTTTGAACCAGTAAATACATGTGTAAAATTTTAATTTTAAATTAGGAATTCCGTACTAACACAAATAAAAGATTCCTACGCAAAACGGAGGTAAGCAGATATTAAAAAAAAAAAATTCTTACTGAATACAGGTCGCAGTGTTACAGCACCTGACAATAGCCCAAACTCCAAATAAAAATTAAAAAAAAAACTGAATAGTGTTTGCCAGACTATCAAAAAGAATAGTTCTGGCGTTAAAAATTAAAGCCTCCAAACAAATTTTCTCCTTAGTAACATATACTATACCACTTTCGATCAGGTGGGCCGTAAACTTGACTTACCAGTATTATAAAAAAAACGGGACCGACCAGTTCCATTGAGATTCGATAATAGTTTTTTTTAAGTAACTGGAATCTCGATGTGGCTACCGTCACGTATTATTTTTATACATAAAAAAATTACATGTCACGTTGTTTGTCCGCGATGGACTCCTAAACTGCTACTGAAACGATTGCAAATTTGATTTGCACATTGTGTGCAATTTCATCCAAGTTGAAAGATAGGATAAATTACATTTCAATTTATAGTCGTAATATTATTTTATTCAAGAACCTTAGCCTCAGCATCTTGTGGAAGAGTCTGCTAGTACTGGTATATAATACTTACTAATATCATATATATGAAAGTAACTCTGTCTGCCTGTCTATCTATCTCGCTTTCGCCAAAACTACTGAACCGATTTAAATGAAATTTGATAGACAGATAGTCTAGACCATGAGAAAGG